AAAGAAAAAGAACCGGAAACTGTTATTGTGCAAAAAAATGACAATTTTAGTCCGTTTTTTAAGGGTCAAAATCGAAAGTACTCCGAATGAGCCGAAACCAAGCCAGTCCGCTTGAATATGACCCGCTGAGTCCGTTTTTGTGGTTAAATTAGCTCTACGAGTTAAATTTACGCTCTACGTGAGCCACGCTATTGGCGCAAAACACTCGTTTCTGACGGTTTCTCGGCTCAGGAAGCCTCGCCAAACAGCAGGACTATGCGCAATTGATTCTACGCCACGAAACTACTTAGGAACAGACTCTAATCTCCAAATTTCTTTCCCCGTCCAAGATTGAGAAAAATTGACAGGGTCATGAATGATACCAGATAACAAGAGATCGCGGCGCGGCCTTCTTAAAAAGCCTTGGAGAGTCTTTTTTTGCATTGATTCCCCCGCAGAATAGTGTGGGTCGAGCACTATTTCATTATCCTGTTATTTACAATCAAATACCAAAAACCATTATGGAGCGGACAGGGCGTCAAACGCTTTTCTCTACCATGTAGAAGAGGTTATTTGTCAAAGGTCCTATATCGTGGTTCACTTGATTGAAAAATGTTTACAATGAAAGACGAACTACAAAATAGGCCTCATTCAATTTTTGAAAAATTGGTCAGTTGTGTGAGTTAAGTACATTAATGCGTCTTGATGCGGTAAATCCTTATCGATAAACAACTTTTCATAAGAGCATCCAAACGCTATGTCTCTGCCGTTAGATTTAACGAAGAAATAAATTAAATGCAACGAGAAACGCCCATTTTTGTCGTTGATTAAAAAGCTCCTATCTGCATAGAGAAACTAATGGGACGTCAGAAGCGTGTGTGTTTTTTTTAACATGAGCCAGAAATCGCAGCTCCTAATTTTATTGCACAGTTCATGGCAGTATGACCGATCTCTTTCTTATCTCGAACCCTAGTAATGTTCTGGTTTTTTGTAGTTTTAACTCGTGACATCATAATTTCAACAGTGGGGGTTGGACCGCAAAGCGGTTGGGGGCACAGCCCTTTAGCTTTATATTTTTCTCACCATTATGCTACGTTACACCTATAAGACGACCTTCCTTGTTATTGCGCGAATAAAAGTACTTACAAAGTTACAAATTGTTTTGAAGCGTATGAATGCCGAGGTGATGAGAGCGCAAAACTCCTTCAAAATTACGAGTATGCAACCCCGCTACTGCAGTGCTCGAATAGTTATCGCTTGAATTTATCACGGCTTCTTGAAGGGGCATCTTCCAATCGGAGGACCGAGTCCCTCGAACACATAACAAGAACGATTAATACTGGACGCGACTGTTGCGGGTTGCATGTAAGCAATTTTGAAGGAGATTTTTGTCATGACAAATTAACCGGATGATTTCAGGAAATGTAAAGAACTTTGCTTGTGTGTGAACATTTATTGCCATTTCATCTTTGAATTGACATTAATTTGTTTATTGCTACAGCACAACCATTTTATTGATGAATAAATGACATAGACACTAGTTATCACAGAAAAAAAGTAGAAAAGGAGCACGTCTAGTAAAAGATACTGGTAATACGGTAGATCCACAGCCGAGGAGCGTAAATGTTTGGCTCCTCCGTTTCGAATGACGTATTCAATCCAGTAAACTGCTGTGTCTGCCGCTGACATTGGCCGGTCATGGAATAATCTGGCGAGTTCTTTTGCTCTCTCTGCGTATCTAGGAACAAATGTATTAAAATAATCAATGTTAGTTAGTTAGTTAGTTAGTTAGTTAATTTAACAAGGTGGAGAAATGTTGCTGGGTCCACGCCATTTCGCTAGGAAAACAAAGCCAATAAATTCCAAAAATTAAAATTAGAGTCATAATTTTTGGAATTTCTTGGCTTTATGTTTTCCCCGCGAAATGGTGTGGGCCCAGCACCGTTTCTCCACCTTGTTACTTACAGTTCGGGCTACTTCTTAGTGTTTTTTTTTTCATTTGTTAGTTGATTTATTTAGAGATATTCAGAAACTTAGGCTATTAATGTCTTTATAAAGAATATGAAAGATATATACAATGGTACGTATTCTGCACTTACAAAAATTCAGATTTTTAAATTAAGGGAGACAAAAAGTTTCAGTATTTTTGTGAGACATATAGCTGAAATCCGAAATGATATAGAGTTTTTTCCCATTGAAAAAACAAATCATCACAGGAAGTCTGGATCGTCACAAAAAGAGATGCGCGTTTTTGCAGTGTCGCCGTCTAATTGGACGTATTTATGCTAAAAGGAACTATGTTGCACGCAATCCATATGTACATAGTTCCTTTTAGCATAAATACGTCTAATTGGCACTCTACCACAGACGTTAAGACTTACTTCGGTTTTAACATTTCTCTGATGGTTTCGTGGATTGTTTCGTTGCGTATTCCGTCTAATTCAAGAATTTGGGCCACTCCTTGAGCTTTCAAAGCTTGTGCGTTCATTGGCTGATCACTATCCTTCGGCATAATCAGCATTGGCTTTCCTTCGCTCACTGCCTCCAATGTCCCAAACAAACCACCATGGCTAATGAACAACTTGACTTTTGGATGAGCTGTTGAACATGTTAAAATCAAAATTTTCAATTTAATTTTCAATTTCTCAGGCTGTGGATTCGAAACTCATTTCCTCCAACAGCGATGAGAAAAATATCCTCTCTTTTCATAGCTAGTTGGAAGTCGCGCATTTAGTTTGAATACATGAAATCAAACGAATTCCGTAAAAAAAGCAATTGCAAAGGAAGTGGATAGAAAGAAAATAGGTTCTAACGAACATTCCGGTATAACTAAAATCATTTTATGGTAAAAGTGATTTAAAATAAACAAAACTAATCGGTTTTCGCCATGCATTGAATCTCTAAAGTAAGGAATATCGCCGTAAAAATGGGTCCAAATGCTGAGATTGACAATTTTTCATAGTTTTTCGAGTTTTATGTTTTTTGGCAAGTGCGTAACCTGGTATCAATCTAATATTTGGTATATTTTTTTTGTAGATAAGGAGATGTCAACCCACGCAAAATTCACCTAATTGCTCTTGCGTTCTGGTCGAAAAACAGCATTTTAGAGGCTTGGAGGACAAGGCGCATAAGTGCAGTTTTTGAAAAAATTAAGATATTATTGATTTCAAGTAAAACTAGTCTCAATTCATATTCTGCGAAAAATTCACCCCTAAATTCCAATTTTTAAGCATCAAATAGTCAGTTTGAACTTTCTTTCCGTCATTCGGCTCCATTTAATTTCAAAACTTCAAACAAGTATTTCTCGAAATAGCAAAAACTGCACTTATATGCACCTTGTACTTCAAGCCCCTCATTTGAACCGAATATAACCATGAAAGATTGCCATTTCCGGCTTTCAAACCCATGATTACGAATTTTTTATCTTGCTGGTGGGATGTGGGATGTTATGGCTGGTAAAAAACAATTGAGACATTTTACTCGTGCTTTAAAGAAACACTGATATTACAGAAATCCATTGTGGGATCATTTTGTCTCTTAACGACGCATATTACTCTCAGCAAAGTTTGCATACGCTACCTAGGATATCCCTCTGAGGGATCCATGCCTTGACCATGACGTTATCGGGAACGTGTAAATTTTCATCCTCAAACTTCCATAAAACACGCTCCTTTAATCTTGAAAATGTGTGGACGAAGGCACTCCTCTTCTCTTCAGGTAAGGTGGCTGCTCTTATGATGGACCCCAAACAAAAATAAATAACACCATGTGGAGACTCCTCGATGAATTTCTCTATGTCCTGGAAATATAATGCCAATGGATATCTAAAGAGACAGAGTACGAGAGGCAATCGGAGGTTTCAAAGCAATTTACTGAAATTTTTATTGCAAGCTCTTACAATATCAATAAATAATATTATTACAGTGATATGATTTGTACACGGAGAAAAAAACCTCGTGCGTGGGACCCGAAGTTTAGGTAATATGGATCTCTGAAGTTTTCGGATTGAGCATCTGAACACTTTAGGTCTAGCTGTCGAGGCTCGGATCACACACCTGAAACTTCAGTTCTTACTTCTGAAGTACTTCAGATGTGAGAACCGAAGTTTTTCGGATGTGAGAACCGAAGTTTTTTGGATGTGAAAACCGAAGTACTTCAGATGTAAGAACTGAAGTTTCAGATGTGTGATCCAAACCTCAGCAGCTGGACCTAAAGTGTTCAGATGCTCAATCCGAAAACTTCGAGATCCATAGGACCTAAACTTCGGGTCCCACGCACGAAGTTTTTTTCTCCGTGTACCCTCAAGATTTGCTGATGGAAACAATTTTCAGGTTCCCTGAAAAAAATAAATTCCGAAATCGAGCTTTTATTTTTTCATTCATGTTTTGCTTCATGCCATCCACCTTGTGTTTCAGCGCACCATGAGTATATAGTTCATACTCTACATCTAGACTTTCATACCGAGAGATTCCATATATTCATATGACCTCGCGGGGGGTAGGGGTAGGTTGGAAGTTACTCTCCAGCAAAAGAGGAGGGTCCTCTTCTAGAAAGTTTCCATGTTTCCCTTGCCAAGGGCGTAATTTCTGTGTGAAAAATTAATTTTATAATAGGTAACATGGACCGCAATTTCGAGGAGAAAATATTTATACCTATTTAGTTTTATATGTTTGTAATTCCACATAGCCAAAACCTGCAGATTTCAAGAATTTACCGAGTGTATAAATCAATGGAGTAAACATTTGTACATTGCTTTATGATTTATCATCGATATTTTATTTTATCAAAATACTTTTTCATGGTCCCGGTGCAAAAAATGTTTTACTTGGAGAGCCCAGATGCATCCTTCAAAGATCCGTGTGGGTAAAGCACAATGTCTCGGAAATAACCGCCCATTAATGGCATTTTGGGGGTACGAAGCGTTGCTTTTTGTCATCACTTGAAGTTTAACCATCAAAACACGGTAGATACCGTCCTAATAGAACTGTCGCAGTCCAGTAGTCAAATCAGGCATTTTGCCAAATGCCTAGGCAGATAGTCAAATTTTGACAGTTTGAGAAATTTTGTAAATTTATGACGATGAGCTCACAAGATTTCAATGTTTTGAATGTGAAAATTCATCAAACCTACAAACTCTTCTTGTCTTTTCCTCTTCGAATGCCTCTTATATTTTAATGTGAAAATTTTAAAAAATCTACATTTTATGACTTGCTGAAAATTTCAAGACCAATGCTCGTTCAGGAGCTGAAAATCGATTAAAATACTACTGTAGGATGCAAATCTTCACACATAATTCTTTGTAACAGGAGCAATGAATTATTCCACCTAAAATAAGGAAAATAATCGGAATTTCAACCTAATTACGAATATTTGTCTATTTACCTAGACATTTGACGAAATGCTTGATTTTATTTGCCTGCGACAGAGCTAAGCCATCGGGTCGGTTCTAGAGTTCAGACTCTTAAAAACATCGACAAGAAAAAATACTTTTGATTCAATCGGATTTAAGCTTAAATCAAGAGCCCAGCCTCTTAATTTGAGCGGATTTCCTTTTTATTTAAGCTTAAATCTGATTGAATCAAGAGTATTTTTTCTTGTCAATGTTTTCAAGAGTGTGGACTCTAGATCCAATGTGTTTTTTTTTCCAGTGTGACTCGTAGAAAGAAAACACACAAACCTCAGGTAATTTTTTCGCAGGCTCTATGTGCACTCCACCAACATCGATAACATTAGCTGCAAGTGGTCGTGCGCCATGGATGGTCGAATGGGTGTTGCTCAAAACGAGGCTTGCATTCTTCAGGGTATCCAAAATAGGCGGGGCATCGTTCCCGAAGTGCTCCCGTATAATCCGTTGATTGGCCGGAACGATTAGCCCGTACCAGGACACGAGGCTGAGGAAGAGTTGGCCCGCGTTGATGACTCGCTCCGCGAAAGACATCCTGGAGCTGAACCGAGACGTGAACACAGGGACGAAGGCTGGGTTCTGGGGGTTGGCCACGATGTCGCTCGTCCAAGGGGGCAGCGCGCATGAAGACAGGAGGACGAATGGCACCTTGAATTTGTCCACGAAGCCGATTATCATGTCTGTTGCGAACGACTCTGTAATTATCAAGTCGTACCTGGAACCAGAGATGGAACATTTCATGAATTTTATTCGAGTGAAACACGAAATTTCATGAAATTTATTGAAACTTTTGGGGATACATTCAGGAGGCTAAGAAGCGCCTAGAAACAGTGATTCTAAATTTTGAATTTTTTTACCCCAAGCCTGAAACATTCGCGCGTTACAAATGTTTCCGTTTAGTTTAGAGATTAGGTTAGAGTTGCTCTCTCTAAACTCCCCTTCATGACCCCTCTTTGTGTCTGGCACCTTCAGTAGAGTAGCATAATACCGCAGCATCAACAGAAAGACCATCTTAAACGCTTTCAGACCTCCAAAGGTTTAATCAATAATTCTAAAAAAAATTAATAAATTTCAACTTTTGTGAAATTTATTCGAGCCTCATGAAATTTCATGAAATTTTAAAACGTGAAATTTCACTTTCCATCTCTGCCTGGAACCAGACGTGCGGGGATACTGAACAGCGGACTGATTATTGAGATGGATAGACAAAGCGATCGACGAGGAAGAGATAGGGAGTATGGAGCAATCCTACTGGTTGAAATGGATGGTTCAAGGGAGAAAATAGTAGAATAACTGGATTGCGTTCAGCAGAAAGGAACCAAGCCACATCAGGTATATTGCCAACTTTAATTGGGCAATTTAATTTTTTACATGAAAAGAGTTGTGCGGATTTTCGTGCAAATTTCAGTGGATTTTCTCCAGTATAAGAAGCAAATTCCTCAAAATTTTCAAAGGAATCCACACAAACGTTCTCTCGTGAAAAATTAAATTGCCCAGGTAAATTTGGCAATAGCTGATGTGGTTTGGTTTATTTCTGTTAAACTCAGTCCGATTGTAAGTTCTTGACCAAAAAACGAATTCCCCTGAGTAAATACAAAACCAAATAAAAAACAAATCGAAATTTCATTCTTAAAAAAAAAAAAAAAAAAAAAAAAAAAAAAAAATCCGCGTTCGTAAGATTTTCTCTTTAATAATACCCCTTGCAATTACAGTGAAAGCTCGCTAAGTCAAATTGTGTAGGGACAGACGAAAAATTGGACTTAAGCGACAATTCGTCTTAACCGATACTCCACCAAACTTATGGACGTTTCTAGGGATCGAAAAAAACTTCGACTCAATCGGTATTTCGTCTTAACCGTAGTTCAACTTAGCGAGCTTTTACTGTAATTGGGCCTGGATTCCAAAAAATCCGTTATTGCTTACTGAGGGAAAAACGAGTGGTTGGAAAATCTGTCGTGCAACGCAAAAATGCCGTAAACGCCATTTTAAATTTTTTGGGAACAATGTATTATAGCGGGAAAACTTTTTTACCTTGGGACAATGTTCTTACAGAATTCTTTCGCAAATATTGTCAAGAACTTTACCTGAAAATTTGAGGTGAAGGGTAAAACAGTTTTTAATTCATGAAGTGTTAAGTTCTAAAAAACGCAGGGAAATCTTGATGGATTTACGAATTTTTTGCTTAGCACGGCAGATCTGATTGAGCTAACCTTTTTTCGGATTTTATCAGTTCCTGGGCGACTGCTGATTCCATGACGCGTTCGTGTTTTTTGATGGCAGAGTGGAACCAAAACATTTCTAATGCATTAAAAATATCCAATTTACTGATTACGGGCGTTTCAAAGGACTCTTGATTGTTGGGCAATAAAGGAACAGAGCCTAAAACACTTAAATCCGTGTAATTGTACATTGATTTCTCGCGAGGATAATGACTTAACACGTCTACTACATGTCCCCTTTTAACTAGCTCCTTCATTATACTCTTGAACATTACATCATGACTTTGACCAACATAAGGAAATAAGCCCAAAATTTTATATCCAGAAGTCTCAAGAGCACTCAAAATAATTGAAATGATCACAACAATGAGTTTGTAATCCATTATGAAGTATGGCCGTGGTCCCTGAAGATGAATGAATCAGGTACTCTTTCAAATTTATAAAAAAAAATTGTTTCTGGACTCTCAAATCAATCAAATATCAAAAAGGAGCTTGAAATTAATTCCTGGGTAAAATATACATAGTTTTTGCTCGGAATATACAATGTAGATACGCTGAACATTATAGATTTGAACTTCCACTTAAAAACAAAAAAGAACACAAGTTTGTTTGGCACCGTTCAAATGAAGATTTCGACGAACTGCTTCCTATGGAGTTGCCTTTTGAACGCGCTAACAAAACAATCTCGGTGTCGGTGTTAACGAGTATGTAATTCCGATAAAAATTAAGTCTTAGAATCGTATTTACTCAATGATTATTTCACGGTGTTTCTAACTTAGGCGCGAGTTTAGTTTCGGCTTAAGGCCCAGCATGTAGATAATTTTTAGACGCGCGGGAAAAAGTATGGGTGACTCGGATGAAGACAGTGAGAACACACAGCGCTTTAGCAGATGATTTTTTATACTAATCAATTTTTTTCATGAAAGCGTGAAGATATTATGCATCCTAATTTTTCGATGAGTACCTACCAATTAAATTCGGCGTTTTTAGCAAGGGGTCAAATCAGGTCAAGCTAGCATTGAGAATGCTGATTAAAGTCATAAATTGAAGTGTAGCGATAAAATTATCTTGAAGTAAGATTAATTTTCTGTAATTAAGATACTATTAACTGGATCACATTTTGCAATAAGGAACCACTATTTCCGGCTCGTTTTAGAAGCAGCATATGTTCCATTAATTTCTCTATGAAGATACGTGATTTTATGGAAAAGCCAGAGATAGTGGTCCCTTATTGCAAAATGTAATCCAACTGGACCGCGTTTAACAGAAAGGAACCAAGCCACACCAGCTATTGCCAAATTTAAGGGGGCACTTTAATTTTTTACGAGAGAACGTTTGTGCGGATTCCTTTGAAAATTTTAAGGAATTTGCCTTGTACTATGGAGAAAATTCACTGAAATATGTACTAAAATCCGCACAACCGTTTTTATGGAAAAAATTAATTTGCCTGATTAAGTTTGGCAATAGCTGATGTGGCTTGGTTCCTTTCTGTTTAACGCGGTTTAACTGTTCCTTCGCCAAGCTGTGTCTAATAAAGCCAAATAAATTGAGTCACTGAGCATCCTTTTTAAGTAAGAATCATCGAAGTTGCATCTAACCAGTGGGGGTGACCACTGAGAGGATATTACGCATAGGACATTTGGTAGTGAAACTGCAAAAATGCGTAAAGGTATCTCGGTTTGCGGCGTTGCAGACTTCCCGGCATACATTATTTTCCTCCGCACACACATCACTCGAGAAGCGCCTTCAATCGACCGATTATACGCAACACCTGCTCGCGTGTTCGAATACTTGCATATCCTACCCCTTAAGTTTCTATTTCGATGGTGAAACTGCAGAAATGCGTATCGCGGTTGAGGCGTTGCAGATTTCCTGTATTACTATATTTCCTTCATGGAAAACTACTAAACGACATTTTTTTTTAAAACTTCAGTGATTTTTCTTTTCTTCGTGAATAATATTCTGTAAAAACTTCAAACCATGATTTTGGTTCGGTTTTCTTTTAAAAAAACTTATTAGTAGCGGAGATTTTGAAAAACCGCAACCGAGGTACGCATTTTTGCAGTTTCACCGGCGGTTTGCGCCGATTGCGTCATAAGTAGTAAATAAAAGTGCCTTCATTGTGAAAGGTATACCACACATGTATCGCGATGTTTCAAACTTGAAAATAGAGCGTTTCGTGCGTTACCAAATTATAATGCCTCTTCATCGAAAAGGTCAAAAACATAAAGACCCAATTGCCTTGCAACATTAAGAGTATCGCCTGGCAACTTGCTTTGGTAATGGGCTCACAATAACATTAAATTTTAGATAATTGTGATAATAATCACAACCCCGTGAGTCGTACGAAAAATCCGTGAATTGATCGCATAAACTTCTATTATCAAGAGGAAAGCTCACCTTGAAAAAATACCTATAAAAATTGAGATTATTATTGGAACTACTTTCATACTTGGATTTCATTTTGCATGCAAAAAGGAACCTAGAGCATTCCAATGTCGCTAAGATTGTGCAACTTTTTTTACCTTGAAAGTAAAAACTAATCATTTAAACTAGTTTCATCTCTACTCCCAATAAACTATGAATTCAAAGACGAAAATTACCATCGTAAAGTTTACTTTTTGCAAATAATGTACCTTAGTTGCACAATCCCAGCAACATTGAAATGCTCTCAGTTCCTTTGTGCAAAATGCAATCCAATTGGTTGTTGCTGCAAAAAAATAGTTTCCCGCAACCTCCTATACAATGCTCCAGTGACCACATAAGTTGGCCCGAGCACAAACTTCTCGGGAAGAAAAGCTTTCCCCTTCCTGGTTTTTCACGTATACCCGCCCGAGTTTCGCATCTTCCGTTTCTCCTCATCGCAGCTTCCATCAAATCGCAATTGCCCGGAAACTAGGACCGCACATCTTATCTGATACAATCTTTCGCCCTTTAGAACAATTTTGGGGGATTAGGCTAGACTAGTCGATGAGTCAACTGTTGGTCTAATTCCATTACGTGAACGCAGAAGAAAAAGGGGGTAAAAAAACACTAATGTGTGATCAATTTTCAAGGACAATTCTGAAATTTCTCCTACGATTTTAAATAGATTAAAACGCGTAATATCCAAAATCTAAGCTCAGATTCAGATTCCTCGTGAAAAACTGATGCGATTTCATGCAACATATGTTAGAATATAGCGTGAAGAAAAGAGGTTTAATGACGTATAAAAACACTAATGTGTGATCAATTTTCAAGGACAATTCTGCAATTTCTCCTACGACGATTTTAAATAGATTAAAACACAAAATATCCAAAATCTAAGCTCAGATTCGGATTCCTCGTGAAAAATTGATGAGATTTCATGTATCATATGTTAGAATAGCGTGAAGGAAAAAGGTTTAACGACGCGTTTAGATTCTGTCGTACTGCTTCTTTGAACTCGCCGCCGCGCCGCGCGGGTCGCCCGAGATGCAACCGAACGGGGAGGCGCCGGCCGGCGCTGAGCATTCGGTTTCGTCCAGAGGAATTCCTCACGATAAATTCTTCTTCTTCCGCCTCCGCTGACCCACTGAGCACTACCCATGTTGCCACGTTGGATTCATACGCTCGAATCAGTATGCCTACGTTACGTCTCTTTCCTCTACGCTATGCTCGGGTATGATACATGAAATTGCATCGATTTTTAACGAGGAATCCGAATCTGAGCTTTGATTTTGGGTATCACGCGTTTTAAGTCACATTTTCCAACTTCAAAAATCCGAAATGACGGACGTGGCTAAAAATGCTATCTCGGCTCCTGTTCGATGGATTTTTGTGAAACTCGGTGTCAGGGTATGATACATGAAATCGCATCGATTTTTTACGATGAATCCTAATCTGAGCTTCGATTTTGAGTATTACGCGTTTTAAATCAAAACCTGTCAGAATTCAAAAAATTCAAAATTCAAAAATCCGAAATGACTGAAGTGGCTTAAAATGCTATCTCGGCTCCTGTTCGATGGATTTTTCTGAAATTCGGTGTCGGGAGGTATTTTTCGACGGGAAACTCGAATTTTTAGTCCATTTTTTAAAATTCTCAAATCCAAGATGGCGAATATGGGCTAAAATGCTATCTCGGTTTCTGTTTGTTCGAGTCTTGTGAAACGCGGTATTAAATGGTGTTTTTCAACGGGAAACTCGAATTTTTAGTCAATTTTTTAAAATTCTCAACTCCAAGTTGTTGGATGTGGCCTACAATTCTATCTCGGTTTCTGTTCGATGAATTTTTCTGAAACTCGGTGTCTGGGGGACCCATGTTGCCACGTTGGATTCATATGCTCGAATCAGTATGCCTAAGTTACGTCTCTTTCCTTCACGCTATGCTCGGGTATGATACATGAAAGTGCATTGATTTTTAACGAGGAATCCAAATCTAAGCTTCGATTTTGAGTAGGTATCACGCGTTTTAAGTTAAATTTTTTTAAATTAAAAAATCAGAAATGACGGACGTGGCCTAAAATGCTATCGCGGCTCTTGTTCTATGGCTTTTTCTGAAAATCGGTGTCTGGCGGTACTTTTCGACGAGAAACTCGAATTTTTCGTCAATTTTTGAAAATGCTCAAATCCAAAATGGCGGATGGGGCCTAAAATGCTATCTTGGCTCCTGTTCGATCGATCTCGCTGATTTTTGGTACCGGGAGGTGTTCTTGGACGGGAAACTCGAATTTCTGGTCAAATTTCGGAAATTCGAGAATCCAAGATAATGGATGTGCCCTAAAATGCTCTACCGGCTCGTGCTCGATCTATCGTGGTGAATCTTGGTACCAGGGAGTATCTAGGGACGGAAAACTCGAAGTTTTGGTCTAATTTAAAAAATTCGAAAATCCAAGATGGTGGATGTGGCCGAAAATGACCTTACTCAGGGGATCTTTCATTCCTCGGAGACACGCGTTTAAAGGGGAGCTCAGAAGACGCAACCTCAAACTTGTTTTTCGTGGATTGAAATTCTAAAAATATCGGCGAAAATTCTTGTGGCTTATGAGTAGTGAATACTTCAAAAAATGCAGAAATCAAAAATTACCGAACAAGCTCATTGTCAAAATTTGAAAAAATTCAAATTTTTGAAATTCGGCTAGGGATTTGAGTTTCCCGTCAAAAAATACCCCCTCGAACCAAAAATCAGCAAGATCGATCAAACAAGAGCCGAGATAGCATTTTAGGCCTCATCCGCCATCTTGGATTTTCGAATATCGAAATTTGACCAGAAATTCGAGTTTCCTATCGAAAAATACCGAATGGTACAAAAAATTAGCAAGATCGATCGAACAGGAGCCGAGAATGCAGAGATAGCATTTTGCCGTCCTGCCGATAGTTCCAAATTGCAAAATGGGAAATCCGAGTTTCGCATTACGCAATAGGGAACCATAGTATAGGTCCCAATTGCAAAATGAACCTCGCGTGATCCTGCGACGGCAAATTTTTCGGGGTTGCTGAAGCGGGATAAGAATCGTTTTTGAGGATTTTCTTTTTCTCAATAGTAAGTAAATAACCTCCTGATACGGAATTCATCATGGAGAAAAAAAAAAAAAAAAAAAAAAAAAAAAAAAAAAAAAAAAAAAAAAAAATCGAAAATTTGACCCTAGTTCCTTATTGCATAAAGCTGTCCAATTCTAGGTGAGGCTAGACCCCCCTTAGCTACAACCATGGTCGCTGGAATTATAGGAACGACTATAAAAATAAGGTGTCCCTTTACTCAGCGCACAGGAGCGCAAAGCAACTATTCGACCATTCGTGCGTGGCACAGTATCACTCGAAATTGAAGGCGAACCTACCGCGCCAACTAGGCAACTCTTGCAACGATTAGAAAGTCACTGGATTTAATGTTACGACTGTGAAAAAGAACGCTCCCCCTCCTCAGCATAAATTTCGACAGTCAGCTTACGGCTTATGAACGCGATCTTACTGATCTTCGGAGAAACTTAAAATACGTCATTTCGATGCTAAAGATACCGATAGATCAAATTGATGAGAAACAAATCAAAGATAAGTTATTCCTTCCTAATACGTTTGATCAAGTAAACGAACCGCTTACCTACGGCATCTTGGCCCGGTAAGTGGTTGCGAAAGGGTTGCCACAACGTTACTGAGAAGTAGGATGTGGCAGCATTTTCGAAATTTTTTCGACAATTTCCTTTCGGGTGGATGAATGCAGAGCTCGGTCATGGAATCACTTTTGGCTGTTGCCATCACCTATTTTTCGTTGGTTTAGATAATAAAGTAAAATTTTAATACACCAGCGGCACCCATTTTTTTCAATAATTCATTTTATGAAATGATAGAGTGAACTAAAAATAAGTTACTGAGCATTTTTTCCGACTTTTTTTAACCCTAACAAGTGACACGGAAATTCGGTATTAAAACTGCCGAAAATTAGGCCCGTTTGGAACGATATTTGTAGCGGGCGCTGATGGCGTACCCAGGCGGGAAAATGGCGTTCGTTCATTGGCTGAATTCGGTTTCAGGTAGGTTTCAGTTTAAGGCATCTACGGCAACTCGACTGTTGGCTTTTGATTGGTCGAATTTTGATTAGCTTTTTGCTTTTTCAGCTTAGAAATATTTTTTTGAACTTTTTATGAGATGATTCATAGGTTTCATTCATAGGTGAGATGGTTTTTCACGAAATTTCATATGTATAGAAGTATGGGTCACCATTCTGAAAAAATTCCCCACCACTGCTGCATTACCTATATTTGAATCAGTGAGAACGAAAACACACCAATTCGGTAACTCGAAAATACTCAATTTCCATCAAAGACAGTTAATTTACAGAAAGGTCGTTGCGTCTGTTCCAACTTGGACCTTTAAAGTGGCCATAAGTACTTGTCTTTCGGCAGCAAAAATCTTTTTCTTAAACTAACTTCTCTACCTACTGTGCAGTTGTGTGTGTGTGTCTTAATTATTGTCATTTTTCCGAGTTGGTGTGTTTTCGTTCTCCCTAATTCATTTGAGGATTAGAAATAAAATAATTTGATAGACATGACTCGAGTTATCAAAGTATTTAATGCACAAAATTAAAAACTTTACAGACTATAGTTGGGGCTTGTAAAAGTTTATGATCTGCGAACTCCTGGCAGTAAGAGGCTACTCAAATAAGGGTCCAATGCTGAGATCTAAAGACTCTTAGTCGAGCATAACTACTACACTTTTTAACAATAAGTACCAGCCCTTCTTCGACAGAATTCCAACAAAAACGCATTAAAACTAATTTTAAAAAATTAAAATAATTATTTCTATTAATTTACTTCATTACATTTACGAAACTCAGAATGATGCCTTTCAAAGCGATGCTCTCCGTCTAGAGCCTTTGATTTTTAACTTTTTAATAATAAAATATATTTATGAAAAAATACTGAGAATTTTTTTTTTTTTTTTTTTGAAAACTTCTCTTGATATCTGTGCTTATACCTTTTCTTACACCACAATTTTTTTAGGATTATATGGACAGATCGTCGCTTCTCTGACGTAATGGTGTATCTTGATGACCACGCAAGCCCTGTTTTACATACGAATGCTTTCTGGGGCTCATGCAGGAATCGAGATGGACCCATAGGTCAGAGAAGCAACAAGATTTAACCAGAATCATTATGAGTGGATTTTATGCTGCCTAATTTTTTCTCATATTTTATTTATTTGAACAGAGAGGTAAACTACCTAACACCTTTAGACTCTCCACAAATTCTCCCTGGATTAAGATGTTTTTACTCAAAAAATTTCGTGTTTCAGTGTTGTTTAATTTCCTGTTTAAAAAAGAGATATCAGAGAAAATTAGGCGAAAGCTGAAGGGATTCAAACTGATTTCGATTAAATCCGTTCAAATCTCACTTTGTCAACCCATTTCTTTTTTTTCACAGAGTTAAAAGAAATTTTTCTGCTAGGAATAATCTAATATTTTCCCAAATTTTAGCGGTAAAAGCAAACAAGAACAAGAGAGAGAAGGAAAAGAGCCGCTACATCCGCGAGTGGTTGAGAAAAAACTATATTGCAGTAATCTCTGAGGGTACGATTCATTGAACGGTTAGAATGAATTATTAATTTGATCTTGCGAAATCCTAGATAGTATCCATTTAGTAAGCTTTTCTTGGTATGTAGCATCGCTCGGTTGTACAATCATTTTTAGTGATTTTATCAAAGAGGATGCATATTGAAAAAAAGTCTTTTTTTCCTTAGTTGGACTAGCTCTTTTTTTATGAATATCTATATAGCAACGGCATTAAACTTATGCCAAGTGGAAACTACAATCTCTTTACAATACTGCTCAAGAATTTACAAATTTATCTAACTTGAAGTAACTTACCAATTTTAAAACCAAAAGATTTAAGACAGGTATCACAAAAAATTAGGCAATGCCTTAGAATACGAGAAGGAAAACCCCCGACAAAATAAAAGTAAGCTTACAGACAAAAATAGTTGACTGCCAGATGAACCAAAATATGCCTACCTAATGATGAATTTGCCCAAAAAAGAGGAAAAAAAGAGGTAAACTAACAATATCCAAACATCGGATAACCACTTAAGCTTCAAACTGAGCATTTAAGTCGAAAGATATTCATTTTACCTTAAATCACAGAAGCACTGCACAAACAGGCTCTCTTTTACAAGGTAAAAATTGGAGAAGAGAAAACGGGAAGAAACCTGTGAGTAGCACATACTTACAGCTAGAGATAAAATTAAGGCAAATCACACAGGCAAGACGTTAAAGGAAGGATCATGTAGAAGACTTAATTGGCCTATTGGTAGTAGCATAAAATCTAGTACTAACTCATAAAAATACAAATTTCACAGAAATATGGGTAAGGTTACGATACTGATTGCGAAAATTCATTTTTTTGGAGAAAACAAATGTAAATTTGTGGAAAAACTGAATGTAAGAGACTGAGGAAATATTTCGAATCCAATTACGAGTTATGATAACGTATGAAGATTTTAATTTTAAACAAGAGTCTAGAGCCCTGAAATAAAATTTTCAAGGGTTTATTTGAATAAATCATGCAAAAAAATTACACTCTAGAGTTTTTTAACGCTGGTGGTTATACTGTACGGCAGCATTAATAGAAATTTTTGACACTAAATTACTTACAACAAAGGTGAATGTATATTGAAGAGCAAAAAGCAAAACTTGTGCCTCTATTGGAATATTTTGAGATTTCTGCTCCTAATTTGTTTCTTTGAGGAGACACAGGCTAACTTTACAGCTTGAAATTTTTACAGAATATTCTACTGAAGAAATCAAGGAAGTTTTCAACAAGTTACGTTGACTAGTATTCCAAAGAAAAAATAAAGTGTGACAATAAATTTGTATCGTTCAAAAGGGAGATACATAGTTTTAGCACTTTGTCCATCAATATACATCAAATCATTAAGTATCTGTTTCCAATAATTGCATTTTTTTTTTTTTTAAATAAATATAATTTGTTTATCAAAATTAGGAATCACTTTCTAAAGCTGTATGATCCAGAAACTTTGGTATAATTCTTCTAATGCATTGAGAAGAGGGCAAAAGTAATAATAGGAAGGAAGATAAAAAGAAACACATCCGGAATTTTTAAACTTCCTGGTTTGTACTTTGATTTAAAGTTAGGTTGGTGTCACGGAAATTGAACTATCAACTGAACTTCATTTTGCAATTAAAAACTACTGTTTCCGACTCAATTAAGATACGACATATGTTTCCTTAGTCTCCTCATGCAAATACATGCTTTCATAGATGAATCAGGAATGATAGTTCTTTGTTGCAAAACATAGTCCAACTAGCATTTAATAACAATTGAGCTGTGAGTTCTCATTAACTGGCGATTTCACCAAAATCTTTGTGTCCGCTTTCTCGGGCGTGTTGCTGAGCCTGAGCTTGACCCGTTAGCATAATTTGACAAACTAAACACTTCAAGGTAAAATTCTGAACATCTGTATACTGACGACTTGCTTTAGCCTCTGATGCCAATTGCTGAGCCTCTGCAAAAATACGGTCATCATCTGAGGGGAATATTGTTTGAATTCTTCCATCAGGCTGAAAAGATTAAAACAAAGCCGTTAAGTATGTTTATCTCCAGAAGATTAATGAATATGTTTTGCATTTACAATGACAATACAGAACAATAAAAGCAAAAATGGTATCAATTTTCATAAACTTTTATCTTATTATTTCCTTTCTTACGTGCCTGATATGCAACGACCAGACAAACAATGCTAATGCCTTTGTCAAAGGAGGAAGGAGACTGAGGAAAATATTAAGTATTTTATGTAAGACTAAGTTTTTTGTTTGTAAAGCTTTTGGCCATCAGGGGAGGTCAATAAGAAATTGAGGCATGTTCATTGATGTTAAACATCTTTTACAGGGTTTCCACTTTTTCTTCTTTTCCCCCAATTCCCTGACTTATTTTGATTTTCTCTGACTACAAAATTTCTGAGTTCTCTGACTTTTTCTGAACTTTGGACATTAAGTACTTTCATTGCGATTCTTTTTCTTTCAGTAACTTAAGCTGACCTTTTCTAAACTTTGAATGAAATGGAGATGATGCATGTAGGAGGAATTCGCGATTTGACTATTAATTCTTATGTAAAAGTTCGTGAGAAACACGATGGCGCCACTGGTTTTCTTTGAAATCAACTCCCAAGCTCAAAAAACTCTCAAGTTGAGGTCAAAATGGAGGGCATATCCCACGCTACCCTGAGAGTCCACCTCTACATCAAGACAAACTCTCCATGCTAAGATAGGGAGCAAATACATTGACAAGGCTACCACTTTATTTGGGGACTCTAAAACTGAAAACACAGCAACCCTGCTGACGTATTTGCTTTGCTCCCTATCTTTGCATGGAGAGTTCGTCTTGATGTGGGCGTGGACTCTCAGGATAGCGTGGGATATCCCCTCCATTTGGGCCTTAACTTGAGAGCTTTTTATGAGCTTGGGAGTTGATTTCAGAGAAAACCAGTAGCGCCATCGTGTTTATTGCAAACTTTTACATAGGAATCAATAGTCAAACCGCAAATTCCTCACACATGCAACATCTCCATTCCCACTTCTGGAGATTCAAAGTATGGAAAAATGCACTCCAAAGTTGCTCGGGCCTTCTCAAATGGCATTGGTTAAGTTCTTGAGCCAACACACTACTTGCAAAATCCCTGGACCTCTCCTGTAAATTCCCTAGCTTTTCCAGGTCATTGTAAATTCCTTTAACTTTCCTGGTTTTCCAGATGGCTGAAAATCCCACTCAGTCTCACTTCCGGAATGAATAGGACTTTTTATCTGCTTACAAAACCAAGATACCACATTTGATTTAAGGCGATTCTGGGTAGCCTGGGAACAAGTTCAACCACTAAGCTGCACTGCTACAGGGTATTTATCTTCAAGAAGTACTAATCACCATTAGGTATAGATTAAAGCCAGAAACTAATCCATACTGAACATGTAGCAGCATTTATACTGAGAAATATGACTTAAATTTGTGAGGATCAATTGAAAATGTAAACCAGTACCACCGTAATGGCTGTCACTCATTGACTCAGTATGTAAGATAGATATAAAATAACGATATCTCTGAAATATTAGAAAAATTGCTGGAATACACTTAATGCAGCCTTAAAGAATTCGTCTTGATAATGTTCAGTTCAACGGCCAAACCAATGACTTGGCTCTGCTTTGATAAGGTTTTAAATTGCTTCTCCAAATTAATTATTAAACTCATGTCAGAGGGCAGGACAAATTAGGATACCTACAGAAAATATACTTTAAAGTTCCTCTACTCTAAAGTAGATTTCTAAAGTTCAGTTTCAATTTTTTATCTCCTGGACAAAAAACTCATCTATTTTGCGCTGCTTCAGTATTTCTACGGGCATTTAACTTTTTCTTGAGAGCACCATTACACAAATTTGTCTAAAAATTTTAGAATCTTTTCTCACAAATGTGAAGAAAAATCATTGGAAATTTCAAGCAAATTCATGAACAGACTTATAAGAAAATACAATTTTTGTGGAAATACTGAAACACCACAACTGAAATACTGTTACTTCCTGTAGGAGACAACTAATTTAGTGCTTGGCATTTATTACTCTCACAAAGTATTCAATAATTTTTCAACTGAATTTTAGCATTATCTACATGACCATAACACTTTTTGCTTCATCTTTCTTTTACTCACCGTCATTTGTTCCAAGTATAGAGGATCATAATGAATTCCATCGAAGATCAGAAAAACGCGCTGACCATAATCTTTGTCTTCACCAAAGCGTTGAATGATTCCATTGATCGTATCAACAACAGCAATTTCAATGCCATAGAATCTCGATAATACGCATAGCTCAATGGCACCACCCCAAGAATCAGACCTGAGGATCCATTTGCAATAATCTTTGTTGGGTTTCCCTAGGATAGCCTCAGAGTATTCACCTTCATTTGACGAGACTTCGGAAGCAATGATTTGACGCATGTCAGAGCCACAAGTGGTGTCAACTTTGCCTGCAACAAAAGTCAGCTGATTCAGACAAAACTATCTATGAACAAATGAAAAGAATGACAACGGTTCTTGAAGGATTGAAATAGTTCTCGAACGTGGAACCGGCTGGTCAAGATGGAATGGTGGACATGCCCCAAAAGTTTTACATGCTGATGGGCTTTTTACTTAATTTTTGGCGATTTTCATTTCCTGCAAAACATACGTCTGCATTTATCAGAATGAAAATTGCAGATAAGAAAAAAAATTGAATCAGCACATTGTGTTACACCTTAATGTGAAAATATGGCGCATTTCAAAAAATTGTGGTGGACTCTTCAAAATTAGCGGAAGCTTGGAAATGCTGGCACCCATAAAGTTTCCTGTATACAAATGGAAAATGAAACAAGTTTGAAAATCACAAGTTTTAAAGCACTAAAAAAGTAATTCTTTGGAGCCTCTTTTTGAGCAACTCAGGATTGTAGAAATTTCCTGACAAGGAAAGATACCCTTGCCTCAGTGACACAGATAGTTGCACAAAGCAATTAAGAGTAAATTACTGACAATCTGACAGAATTGAGCACTTCAGAAGTAATAAAATTTGAAATGTTTTCAAACAAGGCAATGAGGGTGCTTATGATGTAATGGGAAATGTAGATTTCTCTCCACTAAGTCACTCTTTGTTCTATGTTGAGCTTTGAAGGTCAAAAGAGAAGGACTTTGAAATGTTCAAGAAAGACCTTTCATGCTTAAATAACCTAAAAAAATGAAAAATGGAAAACTATCAGACAAGACTCACCTCCTAGAACAAACCCAATGCTGGTAAATAAGCAGGAATTGTCAGATGGTACAGTTCGGCGCATTAGAATTCCATGAGAATTGAATTGCTCCGCAGTTATGTGCTGTAGGCGCTCTTCATTCTTGTTAACAAATTGTTGAGAAGGGGATGACTTTTCCTCAACGATGAGAGTGTCTCCAGACCTCAAGCCAACTGCCTCAATCGTGCGGGCAAAATTTGATAGATCTAATGATTTAGGTGGGTAGCCACTGAGAATATTGACTTTCATCTCATCAATTTTGGTCAGGTCGCAGACCTTCTGTTTCAAGTCGTACATGTTATGCTTTGGTGTTAGATCCTTCACAACAATGGGGCCTTCCTTGGTTTTCAAACGCAACAAAAAGTCACCCATGATCAATGTTTTATTTTGGCTGGATTGGGCGTTACGTAACTGCTTAAAAATTGAAAATAATGCTCTGCGATGAAATCAATTGGGAATTTTTAGAGTAGACTCTCACGACAAGTAACCAACAGATAGATAAAATTCCACGAAAATTTGAAACCGAATGGGGAAGTGCTAAAGGAATGACAAAATATTTTTCAAACAGCAGCACTGATAAGGCAGAAGATTATGATTGACAGAAACAACACAAAAACTGAACGAGACAATTAATTCACGGAAAACGAATTTTAGATGCAGCAATTAACTTGCAAAAGTTCCGGAAGGTACAGAAAAATTTTAAAAAGTTAGGAGATCATAAAGACATTATTATGAATTTTGTGTACATCACATCCAGAAATAGGAAAATATCATAGAATAATAAAGCTAGCCTTATTATTCTATGAAAATATGACAATAAAAATCCTAACCTCAAAGACAGGCAAAGACAGGCTCATTTCCTGTCAGTGTTACCAACTTCACTTGATCGGAAACGCTTTGATGAAACGGATATCCGTTAAATTTGAAATTCCCGCCGGTTTTCCTTGAACTGGGAATATATGGAATGAACCGGTCTACACCAATCAAAACGCCTGGTTCAGAATTTGCCGCAAAATTCCTGCCATTTAAAATAAGGAATTATCTGAGTGAACTGAGTCAGTATTGCCAACTTCACTAGACCGGAAATCTTCAAATGAGACGGATCTCCGTTGAAATTTGAAATTCCCGCCGGTTTTCCTTGAACTGGGAATATATGGAATGAACCGGTCTACACCAATCAAAACGCCTGGTTCAGAATTTGCCGCAAAATTCCTGCCATTTAAAATGAGGAATTATCTGAATGAACTGAGTCGGTGTTGCCAACTTCACTTGACCGGAAATCTTCAAATGAGACGGATATCCGTTAAAATTTGAAATTCCCGCCGGTTTTCTTACAACTGGGAATATATGGAATGAACCGGTCTAGACCAATCAAAATGCTTGGTTCAGAATTTGCGGTAAAATTCCTGTCATTTAAAATGAGGAACAAACGGAACGAACTGAGTTGATTTCCGACTATTTGGCAACTTTGTTTGAGATATTCTTGTTGGTATGGAGGTTATGTTATTGTTCAGCGGCAAAACAAGCGTCCGTCGGCTGAAATTTGACATTTTAAAAGATTCATCGATAATTTGCGTTACTGCACGACCGAATTTGAAATTATCATCATTCTAGTGATTTTCTTGTCCCATTCAGTAAGTATTTTGGAAATAATTCAATCTATTAGTAATGTGCCTGTGCATTGTTTTTGACTGGCAGACCTCTTACTGCTTCTCTGTCCGTTGAAGACCCCACATATTTTTTGCACTTGATTAGCATTCAGATTTCGAGAATTAGGAACATTCTATAATAAAATAGCATACCAGTCTAAGTCAAGACCATAAGTCACTCAATGTATCTGATCAACTGCATGATATCAGCATTCCGAAATACAGTGAGGCAGACACATCGACAGCGTAAGTCCGCAATCTTATATCTCGTTTACGGTGTCTGAAAATCTCCGCCTCTATGTTACTTTTTTAAAGGAAAACAAATTGACATTCTTCCTTGAAGTTCTGCAGAATTTTCTCCGTATAGAGAAGAATAATCATGGCAGTTTTATAGAATTGCCGTAGAGAAGTTTTCCGCTTATAAAATAAGGTATGACAGGAAGTCCGCGACGTCGCAAACCGAGATATGTGATTGCTGACTTACGCCGTTGATATTCAATATTGCTAGAGTGGGGATGATCAGCTGTTCCATTCGAGTTCATTCTTAGAAGAGAAATGACTGTTGTCACTGGTGGGTTGTTCATAACGACCTGACTAGGTATTACTAATCATTTGCAATACCTACTAAACTAAAGCAGATTCTATAATGCCATCCGTTAATTCCACCGTTGCTTCAATGGACTGTGCTAGCTGTGAGCTTTCGTCCTTTGCGTGTCATTTACGATTTTATGAGTGGACAATATTTCAGCTTATTTTTGCTTTCTCCAAGGATTTGTCCGTTACCTGTAGAATTGTCCTTGATCCCATGGAACCTAATTAGGCAGTGCCCAATCTGCAAGATAATAAGATGAACTTTGATTGTTAGTGCCTTGTAGAGTTTATGGAAAGGAACGGGCTCTTTGAATCTACTCTTCTAATAGTCTCATAATGAGGCCTCTCTATCCATTAAACTACGTTGCAGGAAGTGTCAACCATACCACTGCCAAGCTAAGGAAGAACGCCATATGAACATCCAAGAGTTGCCAAATCTTTTTTGATAATACATGTATTTTTTATGATATTTATGCACATTTTTTCTTTTATATTTTCAGATATTTTAGCTCAAATTGCGTACAAAATAGTCTGAAAATTTTGGAAAAAAATATTCACAATTTCCCAATAATTCGGTTTTTATCGAAGGAAACTTGGCAACGTCTGAAGGCCCATACAGCGTTCTTCCTTAGCATGGCAGAATAGTAGTATTGTTGCCCAAAGATGTGTAGGCAGGATAGGTAAATGTCTCGTTATCATGCAGAATCTTACGGTTTGAAGAATAGATTAAGTCAGGAGAAAGAATTAAAACATGTTTTGACCAAACTAGGCTGTATCCAATGCTCTCTTATCTATCTATCTTTTTTTTTTTTTTTTTTTTTTTTAAAGAATAAAAATCTTAAGTACTTTTCCATATAATTGCAGAGGTCAAAATGGATTTTCAAAATAGACCAGGTGGAAAAACTGGCGGAGGAGGTCAGGCGTCATGGTCGGAAACGAATCGGGATCGGAGAGAGCGATTGCGACAGCTGGCTCTCGAAACGATAGATCTCAACAAAGATCCATATTTTATGAAAAATCATTTAGGTGAGTTCATATGACAGTTACCTACTTCTTGATCATCATTTAGATTCAGATAATTGATTAAAATGTGCTTTGTATGATAAATATTGAGTTTTTAGTATCGCATTTTCTGTCATTGCATACTGTTAGAGCATTATCAGTAGGTGGCATTGTTGTTCTAACTTGACAAAGTTAAAATTTTTATAAATTTGCCCCATGTTGTGATCAGTTATGTTTTTGAACTAAATAACCTACTGGATTTCCTATTTGGTATTTGATTATATACTCAAAATTATCCAAACCAATACAGTCCAAGAAAATTTGTATGAAAAATAATTTCTTTTGGCCTTGCAAGCCTGAAGCATTCAAAATTTGCTGTATGTTGCCATGGCAATAAAAGAAAAAAATGTCACTGTAAGAAAATGAATTTATGAATAACCTAAAATACCATGTATGAAATTAATCTGTGACTAAAATTTATTTTGGAAAACTCAATGCCTGATTACCAAACAAAATTTCTGATTAACTGAGTGATAATGATAGCAAAAAATGACATCTCAGCCGGAGCCTCGAGTGCATGGACATTCCCATTCGCATTCACATTCACATTCTCACTCTCATTCACATCCTCACTCACATTCACATTCCCGTTCCCGCTCACATAGCAGGAAAAAGAAGACAAAAGCCCCGTTTTCAATAACATTCTTTTTCGGTCAGTTTTTTTTAATCTTTCCCAAAATTGAGGCTATGGTCCATTCCACTATAACTTGAAGCAGCCTTAAACATCCATCTCCCCTTGTAATTTTAACTTGGCCTTCTCCCACCCCCCGGAGTGTCACATTTTCTTAAAAAAGCCCTCAGAGGTCGGTAATTTCTTGGAATTTGAATGGACCTGCCGATGCTCATATGAACCAAATTTCATTTAACTATCAATATCTGCCTTGATTGCAGCAAATTATCAAAGATTGACCTCATTCATATCTGCACAGGTTATTTTTTCCTTCCTTTATTTTTAATTTTGGAGATGAAGATAAGTTGATTGTATTGAGATGAGATAAAACAGCATACCACTTAGCTGGTTATTGTCTTCTCCCATGATGAATCCTTGCCAGAATTTTTGATGAGTCAAAATTTTTGTGAATAAGTAAAGCTGAAAATACAACAATTCTCCCCTGACTACTGATTGCTCTACTTTCAAGAAGTTCTAGACTTATTCCATTCAGTCATACCTTCAGTGTGTTTCAATGACAAAACTTTATTTTTTTTCTAGGTTCATATGAGTGTAAATTGTGCCTAACTTTGCATAATAATGAAGGAAGCTACTTGGCGCACACACAAGGTAAAAAACATCAAGCAAATTTGGCACGGCGAGCTGCCAAAGATGTCAAAGACACACCTCAGCAGGTAAGAGCATATTTGTTCCTTCTGATTTCCTAAGTAGCGCTGAAATTGAACCGGCCCAGTAAATAATTTTAAATTAAGGTACTCAAAATGATGTCATTCTACTGTTACATTTTCTTTGTATATTATTTGCCATGCTAACTGCTCATTTCATAGTTGGGTATTCAGATCATAGATCCTTGCCCACTTTCTCTGCAAGTGAATGTAGCTTGCTTCACCACTACCTGCGTTTCTCTTCTAACCATTTAAGAATTTTTTGGCAGTTGTGGGTTTTTGTAAAAGATATACTTCAATCATTATTATTCATAAATCCTAGTTTTGGTAAAAAGCAGGGACTCCGAAAGTCCCTAGCCTTATTGTTTTTCAAATTGGCCTCTCCATTCCAAAACTCATTTTCCCCAGGAAGTTTTCAAAATGATACCTTTTTCTTACTCTTCATGGAAGGATTACTACGGATTTGCAGGGAGCACGGATTTTTCAATGAATTTAAGTAGGTAATCAAAACAAATCATTCTTTAAGGTAATCACTCACTAACGTCTTGATAACTGCTTTCAGCCCGCTCCAGAGAAACCTAGGATAGAGCCAAAAAAGTTTGTTAAAATTGGACGACCTGGTTACAGAGTTACGAAACAAAAGGATCCTGAAACCGGTCAGCAGAGCTTACTCTTTCAAGTTGATTATCCAGGTAAGAATCCTACAATGTTGCCATCCCTTAACTTGTGTATAATCTTAATTTGCTCATGGCAAGAGATTTCCTAGAGGCGACCAGAATTGCATGAGTATCTTTCAGAAATTTTGCTAATTAGTCTTCGGTGTCAGTACCACTACGGAAGAAAAAAAACGTTGAAAAGAATGCAAGACTGTATCACCGCTCTTGAGATAGTGCAAATTTTTAGAGTCATACCAAACTAGATTAAATTGAAGTGTAGATTAAAGATTTTTAAGAGTCGATTCTCAGAAATCAATACTTCCTTTGCAGATGTATGCCAAAACCTCTGTTCTAAATTGCAAAGGAAATAATTTCATATTAAATGTATTGAGATATCTGTACCAATCTATGACCATTGTACTTTTCAATTAAACATTAAATATTAAACGCTACTGGCGAAGCAATCGAAGGATCATTTCTTCCATAAGAACAATATATTGTGAAAGAGGATGCAGTTATAATTACTCTCTAACAGGACATGGACATGCGTCAAGAAAAGTGTATTTAATGGGTGGCTTTAAAATCTCAAGGATGTTACTAATCAAGCATTTAATGTTTTTGTTCCAGAAATCGCAGAAGGAGTTACACCAAGGCATCGATTCATGTCTGCCTACGAACAGCGAGTGGAGCCTCCTGACAGAAAATGGCAGTATTTATTGTTTGCAGCCGAGCCTTATGAAACAATAGCATTCAAGGTAATTGCAAAAGACACTTGATGGCCTAAGTGCGAAACCTTGTAGCTCCATTTGCGCCACTGCAGACTTCCTGTCGTACTTTATTTTTTCTTTGGAAAATTGGTCAACTTGATTTTTTTTCAAAACTCCCATGGTTTTTCCTCTCTATCAGCAGAATATTCTGTAGAAATTTCATGCTTAACAGTTGACTCATTTTGCCTTGAAAAAAATAAAATAAGAGCAGAGATTTTGTAGCACCGCAATGGAGATAATGTGCTTTTGCACTGTAACCATTGATGTGGGAAGTATTCTACAGAAAACAGGGGCCAGTTAATATCTGAAAGTTCAAGTTTCATTTTACTTGTATTGAATTGTTCCTGTTACTATTTTACACTATTTCTGATTTGCTGATGACTAAGTCACCACAATGAGTAGAATCATTCGGATAAGCAAAATCGTCACATCTACTTTGCCATGTTTCAAAATCCGATCTCCTATTTTAATTTTATGGAAGGAAGTCAACCAACATCCCCACTCGGAAACTGTTGCAATTGTTTGGCTTTCCTTGCCCATATGAGGGTTATTTGATCAACATGTGAAGGGAAAATATTGGTGAGTTTTCTTCCAAAAAATGTGATCTTGTAACATCTTGTAGCTGTGACTGCTTTGCTTAAATCTGACTATAAAAAAGAAAAAAAAACAATTGACTTTCCACCTGCTCTTATTGTCTCCAAATTTTTCTCCCTTTATTTTAAAATAGTGGACGCTAACAACTTTATACTGTACGTTGAAGAACTTCTTTTATGCTGGAAGAATCAGTTTAATCAGCATGAACCAAATCACCATGTTACTAATTTTTTTTAAAAAAAAAATGTAGTTAATAACCAATCCATTCAACTACAGTATCAGATATTGCCCTGCTGATCATAACTAGTTTATCATGCCATTCATATCTCATCTCTAACCTTGTTAATTTATTATTTATTTATTTTTTTTTTTTCAGGTACCCAGTCGAGAAGTGGACAAATCAGAAGCCAAATTTTGGACACATTGGAACTGTGACACTAAACAATTCTTCCTCCAGTTTGCGTTCAAGCAGGTGGATCCAAAACAGAGCTCCGGAAATGTCCACCGAATGTCAATGAACCAATCAAACAACTCCATGCCCACGAACCTCCTACCCCCTCCCCCGCCTCCCCCCATGTTCAATCCGGTACCCCCTCCCCCTCCCAAAATTGGAGATGCTCCACCTCCCCCACCCCTAGGAATTCCACCCCCTCCTCCACCCAATATTTCAGCTTAATTGTCAACCTCATAAGTCAGTGCTTGTCTCATAATCTTTTACTTTTAAACTAAAGAAAAAAGATGAATTGTAAAAACATGTTTGGTAATAATAACGGATTTTTTTTTTTTTTAACTGCATATTATTTCAAACCTTTTGGCTAGAGAAATACTTATGGAGTTCCTGAAAAAGGAAGGTCTATCAACCGATAAGTTTATATTTTATATAAGGTCAGAACAATTTAATAGTCGAACGATCAATTGATTATCTCTGGCTTTTCGGATAGCTTTTAAAAAATCTCAGAGCGTCACGTTACGTTACGCTGTAGTTCGTCAAGTATTTATACAAAAAATTCGACCAAGGCGCACCTTGAAATATCTCTGAAAGTGTGTCTCATGGGAACATTGCGAGAGGATTTCTGATATTCTTTCAAAACTTACTTACAGGGCTCTTTTAGTCTGTCTCAGTTTTGGTCAACTGACTACAGCGAGATGTGATACTCGTAGATTTCTGGAAAAATATTGATCAATCGACCATTGAACAGTGCTCCCAAGTGCTGAAAGTCCACTAGCGAAAATATATTCAAAATCCTCGGAAACTGGGAAGAAACAAGGGGAACAAAGTTTAAAATAAAACAAAGATATATTTATACTTGAGTTACTTTACAAGCGATATAAATTATCATACAGGGACCGATCTACGGATTCTCAAAAAAGTGGAAAAAAACTTAATATAATACTCAAAATGGAAGATAGATTTTGAGCAACCACTGGATCTGTAACTTGAATCTTGAAAATTGAAACTGTCTTAAAATGTTAAGGCTAACAATCATTGCTGTGAGAGGCAAATGGAAATGGTTTGCTGGCAAATAAAGGCGTAATTATCTGACACTGTACAGCAGAAAATATAATTTTTATTTATATATTTACACCTAATATATTGTCTCAAGACATTGATGAGGCACAAATATGTTTAGTATCCACCACTGTATTTTTCCTGGAAGAAGAGAAAAAAAATTAATAATTTACGATTCATGAAAATAGTACATACAAGAGAGCTTATGATAAATAACAGGCTAGGTGCCAAAAAATCGAAAATTGACTTAGACTCAGCACATCTTTCTAAGCACCAATGACAACATGCCGCCTAATAGGCTAACTTTCAACCGATAATACAGTACTACGTATGCATAGTAATCGAAAGGTAATGTTAGTGGTATGTTTCACGACAGTTCCACAATATATAAAAGTATTTAGAAACTTCAACATTTTTTTCAGATCTGTTTTGGAGAACAAAATAAACAACACAGAAGTTTTAAAAACATCAAACAATAGACATATGAATAACAATATAACAATAGAATTTCAACATCGACTAAATCGTACTAAAATAAAGAGATTTGACGGCTCACTTAAATACCGCTCCTAAAAAAAGTTTACCTGTATTGAAGACATAACACCATTAGCTAGGGACGACAGTTTCCCAGCAACTTTTGTGGCACCTTGACGAAGACTCTCTTTGACATCGTCTAAATCTGGGGTGTAACCAGCAGCATAGTCTTGGTGCGAGCTACCACCCCCAAATAACTCAGCTGATGAGATACTTGTCGAACCTTCGAATCTTGATAAATTGCACTAGAAAAAAAGAAGAAAAAACTTTAAAAACTTGGTTTTTGAACTTAAAGTGAACATGATAAAATTAATAAAAACCCCACTACATTGAGTGCCCGTTCAGGAGAAATTTTTGATTTTCAATAGAAAATACTTGAGGATAAACAATAAGAATAAAACAAAAACTTTTGAGACCAACCATGAAGTTTTATCTTCAGGACATCCAAACTTCAGAGACACTGCATAAAAGCTCAGGGGCTTCTAAAAGTTATCGATGGTGAAACTGCAGAAATATGTATTTTCGTTTGCAACACAGCAAACTCTCTGTTATACTAAATTGTCTACACAGAAAAGTAATAAATATCATGCGAAGAAGATTCTGTGAAAATTTCAATCTGTGATGTTCATTTGGTCTGCTTCAAAAAATAAAATAGGTAGGAGCTAAGATTTTAAAACCCCGCCACTGAGATGCGTATTTTCGCAATTTCACTCCCAGTTGTCACTTTTCTACAGAAGATACACTGAGATATACTACCTATGACTTTTTTACTAAATTAATGTCCAGTGTCTGACAAAATAAACGTACGAATACTCTGTAAAGTAAGAAAAAATAGGCTCCAAATTGTTTTGTGTTCTGCATAAATGTGTAGGATCAGTTGATTGGCAAGAAAGAGGGCTGGATGTTTTTGGTTTAAGATTAAAATTAAACTTACCTTCTCCTCGGTACTGTCACCAAAATATTGAGCAGAGGATATGGACTTCGCTGCCCCAAACTTCTTCTGCGCATCTGAGCCTGTGTCTGCTGTTTTCGGTGCGGCTGATGCTGGTGCTTTCTGCTTGCTTGATGGTGCAGACGCAGTGTTCTTAGAAGTTTCTGTTTTGTCCCAATTACTGCTGCTTTTATTCCAATTACTACTTGTGTTATCCCAATCATTGCTAGATTTTTCCCAGTTGTTACTGGGTTTTTCCCAGTTGTTGCTAGATTTTTCCCAGTTGTTGCTAGATTTTTCCCAAGTGTTGCTTGATTTTTCCCAATTATTCGAGCTGGATTTGGGTGGGGATGATTTAGAAGAGAGGTTATCTTTCCACATAGAATCCATATCATTGCTCGACTTATCCCAAGCTGAGGTGGATTTCGGCTCGGAATCCATCCAGTTTGAGGAGCCGCTTCGGAGAATGAAATCCAGATCTGAATCGGAGAACTGCTCAACTTTTTTTCTGAAACAACAGAGGCGACAAAATTGTTATCTAATTTTCACATAAAAATTATATCTATCTACTTAAAAGCAGCACTCTTTTTAAGTATTCAAAAATTCTATGTTTGGTTGGTTATCAAAGTCAAATTATTTTTTTGAACAGTTCGTAAATTATAATTTGGTATGATAGAAGTGTTTCTAGGACAAGAAGAAGAAATACTTCCTCTACCCGCAAGGGGAGCGAGAAAGTAGACATTGTTTCAAGGAATTTGTCACCACAATATAAATTGAAAATTTATTGTAAGATTAAAAATTGGCATAACTTACATGAAAGAAAAAGGGATCACAAAGGGATCATCAGATGATGAGGACGATTTTGATTTAATTGGAGTTTCTTGTTTGATGATTTTCATGTCACTCAAAGCGGAATGTTGAATTTCACTGTAAAATTAAAGAGAAAACATAAAAAAATTAAAAGAGTTTAGAAAATGAAAAAAAGACATGACAGAATAGAAGCTAAAATTATGTTGTTTTTTTTTTCTTTTTTAAATCATACCGCACTGAGGATCATTTGTGTCTTGTTTCTGAGATGCAACTGAAAGTAGGCAGAATACCTTACACGGTGCATCAGACTTGGCCACTTAAATTGATTTCAAGCTCATGGCGGAACCAAAGTCAGAGTGCAGAGTCTTTGTGCGTTAAATGCTTGGTACAGCATTCTCAAGTTCACGGTTAATATTGAGATAGGTTCAACTTCAGTGTTAGTATGTTCATAGTTGCAGTCTTATTATTGTACACAATAATCAATGCCAGGGCAAACAAATTATTTAAATAATACATAACTGCATGATAGTTATCAAATAGCCAACTCCTGTTACATAAGTAAGCATCAGGCCAGGGGTTTGTGCTCGCTTAGCAAGGTTTTGCTCTCGAATGAAATCACCTATTTTCTGCACTATAATTTATTTACCACAGTCAGGGATTTAGAGCTGAGGTTTGAGGGAGCATCATAAACGGAGCCGCATCGGCGCGCGAGACGGAGGCCCGGCGCGGACTTTCATGCCGCTTCGATCAGTGCGCCGGGGGAGCGCATATGCCGTTGAGGCGGCTTCACCTGGTGAAGCCGACTCCCGGCTCCTTTTCTGATGCTGCATCAGTTTTGATGCTGAGTCCAGCATCAAAATTAGCGGCTTCAATTAGCAGACGCGTCGGACGCCAGCGCCCCGGGCCCGGCTGCCGGTCGGCTAACACCCTTCCTCGGCGTCCACTTCTTAGAACTTCTCGGCGAGGCGTGGGCCGCCGCCAAGACAAAGGGGTGTTCCGCGAATTCATCGCCGAGTCCGAGGGTCGCGGTCTTCTGGGACAGCCCCGTCGGTAATTAAGCTGGGTGGCGGGTCCGAAAATTGAGGCCGTATCGGGCCGCAAGCCGACGGTCCGGCCTCAGAGGCTGAGGCCCATGTTGGTCCCTGAGCCAGCATCAAACCTCAGCATCAGCGCTTGAGGCTGGCTCGGTCGGCTAAGCTGGGTGGCGGGTCCGAAAATTGAGGCCGTATCGGGCCGCAAGCCGACGGTCCGGCCTCAGAGGCTGAGGCCCATGTTGGTCCCTGAGCCAGCATCAAACCTCAGCATCAGCGCTTGAGGCTGGCTCGGTCGGCTCTCCAGCATCGGGCTTCAATGCCCGAAGCCGGCGGCCGGCAGGTTGAGCGCATCAGGCTCCGAGCCGTATGCCCGAACGGCCGCTACCTGGGCATACGGCATTGATGCTGAAGCTACGAGTAGATGCTGTACAGCATAACCTCATGAGGCGCCTCAAATGCCTGACCACAGTAACATTTGCAAAGCCATTACAAATCCATAGACTACGTTCTGGCAAGTCAAATTACACATAAAGAATATATTGAAATTCGCAGAGTAACCTTTAGATGGTAATTGAAAAAAAGACCTACCCTCTGGCACAGAATCCCATACCGAGACGCTCAATTTGCTCTGCTTTCTTGGGATCGGTTATCTTTAGCTTCTCTTCTTCTTTCTTTTGTTGCAAACTTAGATCCTGGTACGCCAAGCGCATGGATGCCATCTGTCAAAAAATAAAATGTTTTTTTAAGCATATAAATTATTTGTACCTATACCTACTTAATGATAATTTGAGAGAAAAAAAAAAAAAAAAAAAAAAAAAAAAAAAAAACAACAAAAAAACAACTGAATTGAACACATTTCGTGTAAGGCAATGTTGGAAGTTGATTTGAGTGCGCTAAATTTCATTACTTAGGAGTTTGGCCAAAAGTAGCTGCAAGTTTTTGTACCGTTCAAAAATTGTAACGAACGTCTCTTTGCAGTTCTCTAAATTTCTGAGAACAATTTTCACATCTATTTGTAAGTTTTGTTTGCTTGTTGTTGTTGTTTTTTTTAAATTATGGAGAGTATAAGGACATAAAACTATGTTAGAGAAAAATAAATGGATGAGAAGTTAAGATCTACATTTTAACAGATAGACTTAACTTCCGAAATTTGATCACGAGGAAAAAATACTAGCTTGAAAGAAATGATCAGTATTCTTTCTTTCTAACATTCTAACTTTCTATATCTCTACTTAGCAACAATGAAATCATTAAATCTCTTTTGTCAAGCCCAAAAAAAGAGAGGTGGTTTAATGTCCCCATTCAAGTTGATGCGCCAACATGTAGTGTCTTACCTTTGCATCTTGTTCTTCGGTGGACTGTTGTACCGCTGCTGCCTGATTCTTCTTGCTATTTTCAATTGATTCTTTCAACTGGTCGGCTAATTCTGCTTCACGCTCGATCTCTGCAAAATTTGCTTTCACTTTTTGAGCACCAAGACCGGCTTTTTTGGCACCCAGCTGTGAAAAATTATTCTTTCGTTATTTTTAGGTTTTGCAAGTGTACAATTCATTTTGATTACTAATATTATTCTATTTTTCTTGCCAAACAATAATGGCTAATATACCTCCAGCCAGGGGTTGATAATTTTCCAAGAATTGCTAGATCAGGGTTGAGCAACTTCCAAGGAAATAAATACATATTTTATTTTTTAAGATTCGAATTATATTTAACACCAATTAGAAGGGATTCTGTGCGATTTTGCGAAATGGGAAGAGAACAGAATCATAATTTCACAGAATTCAGTGGGTGATATGGTTTGGTGATTAGCGGTTTTCCAAAATTTTGCGGGTTTTCCATGTTTTCGTGCGTTTGCAGATCGCTTGATCCGGAGGTTAATCGACCTCAGCGGTCTGCCTCTAGCTAAGTAAAGACATGAATATTGCAACTCATAAAATAATGCTACCAGCACATTAATTTTACAACTGACAGTGACTCAATCAAGTATGGTCAGGACTACTCTTCGACAATGATGAGCTTAGATGAGGACTTGATTATCGAAGGCCAAATGCAAAACAACGTATCTCCATTGGAAACACTGAAGCCTTCCTGTCATACTTATTTTTTCTATGAGGAGCTAGTCTAAAGTTGTAATCTAACACTTACCCCAGTCCTTTTGGCAGGACCCTTCCTTCCAATGGTGGATTTATGTTCTGAAAGAGACGTTGCACTATTACTTGAAAAGGCACCTTCTACGCTGGGTGACCCATGGGCGTTTGAATTACTTGTACTATTCAGATTATTGGCGACCTGAAAATGAAACAATTAATTGAAGGTCAGTGAATATAAAAAGAAACCAAATTTAGGAAGGATAAATTTCTACGCCAGGTTGCCACAGATTTTATGTAGAAAATGAAAGTCCCTGACATTTCCCTGATTTCCTTGACACATTTTGGTTTTAAAATTCTCTGGCAACTGAAGATAATTAGATGATTAAAAGGACATAATTTGAAATAGTTTCTGGGCAAAATTTGTTGTTCAAGGCGTCAAACCCATTTTAAAAAGCAATTCAAAATGACTTAAAAACTGACTTAACAAATTTTCCTCGGTGCTTTCATCATTTTTCCTGATATTCTTTCCCTAATCTTCTTCATTATGCAAGTATATGATATAATTACAGCTAATTATTGATTTGAATCAATTATGCAACAAAACAATAGATCATTAACATGAGCACACCGAAAAATTGTCTTTGGACAATCTTGTCTTTTTGATGAGAATTTTCGATTGATCGGATGTAAGTGTAAAAGAACAATTAATAATGAGAATTTGCTGTCGGAAACAAAAGATGATTTGCAGTGTTGACCTTGACTGGTTCTGGTGGGTTGGCAGGCGCAAGGGTTGGCACTGAACGGACCGGTGTTGGATCTACTCTGGGCTGTGTCGGGAAGTTAGTTTGAAAGCCGTTGGTGCTCTCTTCACCTGGTTGCATGATGGAGTCAAAGAAATCTGAGTCCTTTTTCTCTTCTCCATGATGAGACTCATGTGGAAGTCCACCGTCCATGAACAACTGAAATTAAAAGAAACATTTGAGCAAATACACAATTGATATTGAATAGAGCACTCACAAAATTGCATAAGGTTGTGCAAGGAATTGAATTTTAAAAATTAAGGACTTTCACAAAGAGCTTGATGTCCAATTTAAATACCAAGGGTTTAAAACTCCATACATAAAATTTAGAAATTTAGATCCACTCTTTCCTTACTCACATTTTGTTGTTTCCCAGACAAAGGAATGTAACTCAATATCATCGTTGCCAATTACTTCTATTACAAGAAAGTACCTGTGAAATTTTTGTCCAATTTTTTTCTGATTCTTGCATGAGATGAGAGAAAAATCAGTGAAATTTTCAGTCACAGATGTCTAAGATTTTCCTGATATAAATGCAATTCCTGAGGACAATTTGGCATCGTTGAAATTGAGTTAAGTTCTTTTGTGAGGGAAGCGATCACTTTTCTGACCCTTACGATAGCTCCCTAGGTGTTGCTGATGTATAGAGTTCAGCTGGTTGAGGCAGAGAGAGAGAGAGGAATGGATGTGGAGCTGATTAAATTTGAAAAAAAATTTTCGAAGAAATTACCTTGGTTCCATGGAGTTTCATGGCCTGTTTAGATGCATGGTCGAGTTTATCTCTGTACAGTGTGGCTGCTCTTGAATTATACTTAACCTGCGCATCAGTTGTGTCGCAATTATGCTGCCTGAAGAAAGTTGACTGAAAAAATGAAAAGAGAGTTAGGAATCATCAAGTCTACTGTAAAACATTTTCCATTATTTTTCCCTCAACTGACAGATATTTCCCCAGGCCTGGAGTCTAAGGTGGGAAATTTGGATTCACTAAGAGGGGAGATTGCAGTTTCTTTCATGAAAAGGATGTCTTCCCGAACCATTTATTTGACAGTAAATGTTTTGCCATTTCTTAAAATAGCAAGGGTTTACTCCTGAAAACTAATTAAGAATGAAGTTCAGGAAGTTTTCAAGCATCTTCCAAAGAGTCAAGCACTTTCAAGGCCTTGAAACAAAAATTCCGAAGTAAGCTTTTTTAAGCACATTTTAAGGCTATGCGAAGCATGAGCTCCTGCCGTGGGAATTAATCAACGATGAATCAGCAATCCATGACAAGATTTAATACATTTGACTTTAACAGTACTGATTTTTAATGATGAAATTCATTTCATAAGATTTAAATTTTACATACTTAAACGAGGAGGAAAATTAGAAATTTTCATTCTTTACCCAGTTTTCGATTCTAAACGAAAGTCGGCAGTTTTTGACACTGAAATTAAAGGTGCACTCTCATCACTCTTATGTCGAATTCTCAGCCTATGAGGGAAAGCAAAAGATTTGAGCATTTAATTTGGGCTTGATTGCTTTAACATACTGCAGTGTTACTTTCAAATGTGTTTGCTTTACCAGATTTAATTCACACAAATAAAGCCATGACTACTTACAGCATTGGCATTGCCTCCAAGTTGCATATTCCTTATCTGTGTCCATGTCCAGTGTGTGTCCAACTGTGTTGAGCGCACGAAGGACAAGTGGACACCAAGGCCACGGTGGACCGCCGAACAGTCAATGCAGATGAATACTCCATACGTTACACTTGCCCATGTTGGATTTTTAGCATTACAATCAAAACAGATCTGAAACAAGAAAATTAAGAATGAAACCATGGAAAAGATATGAAGAGGAACTTAACGGGCATCTTGTTCATCCGCAATAATTAGGAGGATAACGCATAAGATTAACTCATTAGTAAAGGCATATAACTCAAGAGGTATGGTTGCGGACGCATCTACTGATTTGGCTGGTAGTTTAAAGTGACAAGAACTTATCAACAGGTGGGATTGATCCAATTCAATAGGCTGTCACAGTGTTGATGCTCCCGCAGAGTAATCTAGACTGACAGCAATCACTGATAGGTGTCTTGCCCGCTAGCCAGGGAGGATTCGCCCTAAATTATTAATTCATTCTATTGTCAGATGGGCAAAGTGGCTATTTAATATCTTTGAGTAACATGCAATACAAAGTATTAATTGGGCCAGCTAAGCGCAAGGGCCTACTTCCAGAAGTTCCAGGTTGGGAGGCAGGAGATAAGAGATCAATAATAATTGAAATGCTCTTCGAGAGAGAAAAGTACTAACCTTGTTTGCAGGAATGGATCTCAGTCTTTTAAAAACGGATTCAATATCACTTTTTGGGGGGCAATCATCAGCCATGGCTAAGTTAAAATTTCATAACCAAATAAATAAAAAATGAACATGCATAGAATAATGAGATGGAACATGTAAATGCACGGATGAACGACTGAGTTGTCACTTTCAGGTTGGCCAACAACACCGCGCAGTGTAGCCAAAAGTTCGCTACCACCGGAATGACGTCATGAGCTTTTGAGCGTTGTGGAACTTTCAAAAAATGCTTCATTATGAATGATAATCTGAATGTGTAAATTTTCTTTTGCAAAAAGCTCACAAATTCTGGCAACTGTGTTGAAATATATGACGAAATAAATTTGTGCTTATCAGCTGACGTTTAGGGCGCGCTCTGTTTACTTATCTTTTGAAATTCTAATTTTCGTTTTATTATGGAAAACACCATTTTTGAAGGTTATCTTCCTGTGATAAGTAATTTTGAAAATGTCGTGTTTTAGAATTAGTCATCTCCCACTTCTAATCGTCTCCTTATAACGTCAGCCATCAGTTATGTTCGTGTGATCACATTAATGAACTGTCCCTCAGAAACTAGTGAAGGATTCAGCATCAACCGCTTTGTGTCGAGTTCCTTTATTATTTTAGTTCTGTTTCAATGCGATCACTATGCTTGAAGGTTTAGTCGCTTGGGTGCTGAACAATTACTTGGGAAAATATGTAGAAAATTTAAACACCGATCAACTCAGCGTAGGTTTACTCAGAGGTAAGTTCTGATTTTTCTGAGTTCATGGCATTTACGGTGGATCTTGCCGAGACGCCCTAGTTTATTTCATCAGTACCTTTTCTGAAGAACTAAAGCGCTTTCAAGGATGCTATTACTTACTTGATTGTAAAAACTGTGTCTATCTCTTTACCGAAGATGGTTTTAGTTTGGTATCTGAGGTCGGCCGGTCATGTGACAATGTAGTCATAGATCTAATAGAACTTAACGTGAACAGCGCACACTATGTACCCACCCAAGAATTATCTGTTCAGATTTTCTAATAATGTAACTACCAAAGGCCTCTCAAGGAGGTAAGTTTTCTGACAATGGTTAATACGAAAAATTGACTGACTGAAAAACCAAATGTCACCAGGAGATTTAAATGTCAACCGAGGGTTCACAATTATTAAGTTAGATTAAGGTGCAAATTTCAAATGTCTCTACCAAGTTCAGCATTTTGGAAAAACATTTCTAAGGTTCTGTGTCATGAGACCAAGCTGTTCCGCTGTTAGTTCCTTCTAGTTCAGTTTGGCTCTTCATTTTTCACCTTCCCGCCAAAGTATCACAAGCGCCATGTGATAATTAAGAATTTCCGCCGCCATTTTATTTTTTACAGAAAAGTGGTTTAAGGAAGCTGTCAAAAAATTCCACTGAATTTTCTTCATGCTGCCGATCAAATTCAGTGTATTTTCAAATAGATTTAACCAACAATGTCTTTGTAAAAAAATGAAATGGCTGTGGAAATTTTGAAATGTCGCATGGTGCTCGTGATACTTTGGCTGGAAGGTGACGTTGTCTGCTTATCCAGTGGTTAACTGTCGTGTTTGCCAGCTAAGGTATCAATATTTTTGTCCTTAGGTGCTGTTGAGTTGGAAAATCTGCCCTTGAAGAAGGATGCACTTCGAGAACTAGGATTACCGGTGGAAGTTCGGTCTGGTTTCATTGGAAAAGTTAAACTTCAAGTACCTGTGAGCCAATTTAGATCAGCACCATGGGTCATACTGATAGAAAATTTGTATTTGACTGTCGGTCCCATCTTAATCGAAAAGGTTTGTACAGCCATTTAAATATCCACTAAGTTTATTGATAACCAAATTTGAAAAAATTCGTTCGTCAGATTGCGATGTTGTTAGTCTCCGCTCATGTTTAATTTGTTTCAAAGAAAACTAACCAGTAGTCACTATTGAAATCTTCCATTGATTTTCCTCACCACTCACCTAATTCTAAAAGCATTGCAGAATTGCAAGGAAATATTTTGATTAGTTTTAAATACATCACGAAAATAGAACATAATCGAAGAATCTTAACACTGCAACCAACTGAAATACATTTTTTTGCAAACAAATTTTTGAAGACTATTATGACAAAAAATCCGCCATGTAGCAAATGGAGATCCATGGTTTTGCACTTTGCCCATTGATACCTAATTTTTTGCAGTTTGAAAAAGTTTAAGAAAATAAATGCTTCACTGTCTTTGAATGACATTTTTGTTCATGTTTCCCTTCATGAGAGATGAAAACTTGTCTTGTTCTTTGAGTCATATTTTGAGTTATTGCGTCTGCTCTCATCCTAAATTTTTTTCGAAGAGCCGGCTTTCTATTTGCGAATTGATATTTACTTCATCTCCACAGAGTTTCATGATAATGCATCAAATTATTTTTCAGTGGGACGAAGTAGCACAGGAAAGGACAATGCAAGAATGGAAAATGGGATTGCTTGCAGACATGGAGGCACGCTGGCGCGCCGAGCTATCAGGAAATCAAACAGGAGGTTATTACGCCTCGAGTTATTCCTCTTGGCTAGGATATGCAACAGGAGTGATGGCCAATATTGTTGACAATCTTCAGGTACTTGATTTTCCAGAGGTCCTCTATACTAATCAAACAGTTGTATTTTAATTTTACCTCAAAGCTCAAGTAGCGCAATTTCACCTCAAAATTTCTCGAGCCAACTTATTAAGTAAGAGTCTGTCCAAACATTTTCAAGAGCTGCGCGAAAACATTTTATTTGTTGATCTTTGAGCATTAAATCCCAAAGAGTAGCAGCACAGCAGAGACTGAAGCTAAGCTAATATCATAGGTGTTATATTTACCAACACCGATAAAGTATTTTTATAGCTCCTGCCATTTAAATATCAAGCGGGAAGAAAACTGCGCATAGGAAACGTTGAAGGTCATGAAAAGTGCTTGATTTTATGAGGCTGCACAAACCATGAAACAATGAAAAACTCTATTTACGCCTTCGTTTGACTCTTCAGTAATCCATTTTTTGTATGAATTACTTGCATCTGCTCCTTAGCTTCAATGTTTGGTCTTTTTCTTCCAGCTGAAAATCATTGATGTTCACCTGCGTTTTGAGGATGAAGTTACATCTGACAGTCAATCATTTGCTGTTGGAGTCACAATTGAGTCTCTCGCTGCCCAGAGTTGCAACAAAGAATGGATTCCTGGCTTTGTATCTTATACATCTGACAGCAGTAATGGTCATTCATTCAAGCTAGTTGAATTAACAAATTTAGCCATCTACTGGGATATCATACGACCACCCAAGCTTCTATGGAGTCACACTAGTGCTAGTGATCTTTCGGTAAAATCCCACGCTTTTTTTAAAAGAAATATAAGTAAAATGTTTTACAAATTATCTCCTTTGTAGCTCAACCAAATAATCTTAAAAAATCTTTAAAAATAGGGTCTTAAACTGCTATGCTGTGTTTATAAGTCAACAGGACAGGTAACTAAAAAATACCATAGGAACCTACTCAAAGCTGAAAAATATAATCGTTGAATCCTTTTAACACTGAAAGCCCTGTGAAGAAAGTTGAAAAGTTGTTGTGAATGAAGCATTTTTTTCAAAGTGATAAACTGAGTATTGAAGATTCAGTAGAAGATGAATGAATTGTTTAGAAACAATATCTATGAGAAGTAGCAATGGAGTCAAAGAAAGGGGGGCAGATACCACAGGTATGCTTCTACACTCATACTTGTATACCTAGATAATCATTCACATTTAAAATTCTACATGCTGTATAATAATTATCAAATTCTGTTGTATCTAGAAATTGCTGAGTTGTGCGGCAGCGGATAAAAATGATCACCAGTATATCCTACCACCTGTATGCGCAGTGGCGCATCTTAAAAGAAATCGTAGTGATAAGCCTCTAAGATCAAAAACACATCCAAGAATAGTTTGTGATTTGCAGTTGGAAGAAGTAGCTCTTACTTTATCGGATGTAAGTCGAAGTTTGTTATCTTGTCTTTCACTTTATCTATTTTATTGTATCACTTATTTTATCCTACCGCACAAATATTAATGTATAGAGTTTAAAAATGAAACCCACTCTGCAGGAAGAAGGAGTCTCCGAAAAGAAAGGACTTAATCCTTAAAAATGTATCCCTATTTTTATGTACATATTTCTACACGATTCTTCATTCTTCTTATTTTTCTAATCAAATTGAAAATTATTTTTAATTTTTTTTATCTATTTTATTTTTTTTTATTTTTTTTTTTTTGTAAAAAAAGGGTTATAGGTATTATTAGAGAGAAAATTCTTTGTTCAAAGGCTTTTTTCTATCAATGTCCGTTAAATCAAAGACCCTGTAGTTACACAGACAAAGAGTCGTGGATTTTTTATCCTACATATTTTAATCAAACAATTTACCAATTTATTTCTTCCCCCTCTGATACTTAGCTGCTTTTCACAAATGAGATTTTTTAATAATATCAGAGGATAAATTGTAGGGTGGCTCATTTTTTACATTTTTTTAAAATTTGAAGAATGGTAATGAAAAACCTTTTTTTCCGTTTGCAGTTGCAGTACAGTCTAGCTGTCAACTGTGTCAAAGGCTTGAAACGGATTCAACTGCGCCAGAATTATAGAAAATTTCGACCAACATCATCGGTCAAAGAAAATCCTCGAGCGTGGTGGTTATACCTTTTCAACTGTTTTCACTATAAAATCAAGAACACAAGCCGGGAGACTGCCTCCTGGCAACACTGCATTCAAAGAGCGAAGGAAAATGTAGCGTATGTAGATATTTACTCCAAAGTTTTATTAAGTCAGACTGCGTCTCCAACACTACTACCAGAAGAAAACCGGATCAAAGACACCGTTGAGATCGAACGCGGTCTAGAGGAGCTTGTATCTTTGAGAGAGGTAATTCTATCTTATATTGTCATAAAATGCTCTTATCAACATGTAAAACTAGCCTCAAATCGTGTTGAACTAGTTTTAGTTATTTTAATGTAAATTAGTCAGTTAATTTTTCCAGGCAAAAAATTTTGGTAGTGTTTTGATCACTTTCTTCTTTTTTTTCATGTATTAGCAACGGAATGATTTTGAAATTCACCAACACTTTTTAACTTTAGTACCTAAGAGATGTGATAAATTGCCAATGAAGAACTGATAAAATATTAATAAATTGCATCAACAAATTGGAAGGCAAATTGGAATTGTACTATGTCACCTTTTGCAGTTATGAACCATTAAGATTCCTGTCAGGAAGTCAATCTGACAAATCAACAATGAAATAATAATTCTTTTTACATTTCATCCCCTACATTCAGTATACTCAACTGAGGTCATTGACCGAATTTGTTCTCTAGATTGCAATGTTTCGAGTGCGACCACCTCAGCCTACCTCACCCCCAGTTACAAACGGAGGGGCAACTGCGCAAGGGCGTAGCATGCTTCTAAGTTGGTTTCCTCAATGGTGGGGATGGTATTCCGCCACGCAGCCCATTGAAGGTGACCTTTCATCTGGAACTAAAGACACTGGCCAATTAGATGATGAGATCTTCGATGCGATCGCTGACACTATGGAGAACAATACTTTGCTGAAGAGGGATGCTGTTTTTGGACAGTTTAATTTCACTCTCAAGCAGGGGGGCATCAGCCTATGTTCGGTTTATAGATCTAGTAATGGGGCTTTTGAAAGGTAAGATAAGTATTTCACATACAAATCGAGTTGTTTTGTTCTCTTTTGAAACTGAAAATAAAGTTTCTGAAGATTGGTGAAACATGAAATGTCCATGGTGGCAGAAAGTGCCAAAACGCTTACCATTTTCTGTGATCAGACGTTTTCCTACATGGTCATTTCTTTGATTTACCTCATGAGCAGTTTTCCAATTTTTATTGCTAATTACCCGATTTCACATTGAAATGTGCGATGTGCCTTACAATCCATGAAAAAAGAAAAGCATGTACATGAAAATGCCACCTAACTCAGCATTTAGGATCACTACTTAGGGCATTTTTTGCACCCCTGGAAATGCCAATGTATTGCAAAGCAAAATTTAATAGCAAATCCCTTCATGCCCTCTTTTATCACCAGCTTTTACTTACAAAAGGGTTTTTTCAATTTATTACAAATATGCCTGTGTATCAAAGGTATGAAGCAGTTTTCAGAGTAAAGAGAGTCAAAAACTGGGAATTAATTGCTTAATACATATTTGGCAAACGTTTTATTTTATCTTATGCCCTCTTAATATTCTAAGAATTTGTTTTCCTGTTTTCAGTCGCTGCACAATGCGATTACAATTCAGTAATATGTCAATTGGGTATGAGTCAAGACCTCGAACTGGTTCTCATAAAATCAGCGGTGCCCTAGGAACGGTATCTCTCCATGACCTGTTGACTGAAAATTCGGCCTTCCCTGTTCTTATTTCTCCTCAAAGTAATATTTGTTAAGCTTTTTCATTTGACTTTGTTGCTTGGCAAGTGGACTGACTCAGTGGCTGTCATTTGATATTCAATGGTTACACACAAAGTAAATTAACTATTTTGCTATTGATTGTTTTGCTGCTTTTTCAAGTGAGGTGCAGTTTAACTGTGATAAATTTAATGACCTAGCCACTACTTAAGTCAGTCTATTGTATGCAAATTTTTGAATTTCAATTCTAAATTAATTTTCTCTCACTTAAATTTTGTGGACACTTTTTTTATGATGAGTGAAATGCATTCGTACATTACTTACCTTCTTTCTCGTATTCATAAATGCACTTTTTAAACACAGGTGTTGATGGAAGAACAAAATATGATGAATTTTCATGGGGAGCTAGAAAAATTAGCTTAGACCAATCTTTACTTAAAATCTATCGAAAAATCGAAAAAATAATTTCGAATAAACTTTCTTTGAAAACCTTGCTATTGATACTTGATCAGTGTGAACATATGTTTCAATAAAAATTGTGGGTTTTATTGACTTCCCATTGCCTCAGCCTTTTTTTACAATAGTATATTTTTTTACTAATCATCAGAGAGTACAGAATATCTTCCAGATAATAAGAAAGTGAAGAAAACCTAGAAATTCGCAAAAACTGAATGCTAAGACAAAAAGTAGTGTGATACTCTAAGAATCCTAGCACCAGCAGTATAAATTTAAACATGAGCTGATCCTTATGTTATGAAATAATGAAATTTTGTTGGCATCTCAGGCAGCAACGAAGCACCAAGCAGTCGTCCTAGCCGAACTCTCTCTTCATCTCTAGCGCGTCTCATTGGTCAGGAATCCCAACCGGATCCACAACCTACCAATCTATTTCAGTTCAGTTACGAATACAAACCATTTCATTCTAACGTAGATTATAAGTAAGTATCATGGTTCTCTCTTTTTTTTTACTCCTCAACTTAAGCAGGGTCAGTTCAAAGTTGAATGTTCGTGTACTAACTTTGTTACTTGTTGATCCGTTACAAATGACAATTTTGCCAATGGTAATAATAGCTGTTTCTGAATTTTTCTCATTGTCAGATTTTCATATACTTTTACCGATACAAATACCGTAAATTCTATTATAAAAGTTTATACAGTGGAATTGGAATATTGATAAATTGAAATCCAATACGTTGAGAACACTCGTAAATTGGATATTTCCCTGGTTCTGTCAATTTCACTGTGTAAACAATGTAATGGTTTGGAGGTAGTATTAATTTGTTATAGTAGTAGTATAATAATCAGCGCTACAGTGTTTATAGAAATTTCTAATACCTACATAAAATAGAATATTATTTCATCCAACCCAAAATACTTTCAGTAATTGATCATTCAATGTTAATATTGACCACTCTCTTCATGTCTAGGTTGGCAGTCCAGTCACAATCGTTGGACATAGTTTACAATCCGTCTGCTACTAAATGGTTAATAGATTTCTTCACAAAACCTCATCAAACGCATAGTTCACAACTACGTCAAGCAGCTCGCCATGGCTACAATGCGATGAAGCAACGGACCAGAAAAGAGCTCCTTAAAAACTGGGAAAATATATTACGTGGAAGCGTTGTGGAGGTAAAACTTCAAACCATCAATTCCTATTATAATTTCTTTATCAGGGCTTACAAATTTAGTCCAAGAACTGCCAGAATTTTGCGAATTCTTTTCAATTTTTTTGGAAAGGAAAACTTATCAGAAAGATACTTATTTCAAACTTTGTAAAGAAATTCTGTCCTAGTGAAGAAACTCTGCTTTTTGAAAAATAAATTAAAGTGCTTATTCTGTGATCAATGTTTCTACAAAGGTACAGTTGTCCTTTGTGACAAAAATGCTACTCCATTCTGAATGTCATTTTAAACTTATTTGCTGGCAAAATTTTCTACAAATTAGGGAAAAATCAGAACAACTTCTCCCATCAATTTTTTAGAACAAAGCTCTCCGGTTTTTTGAGTTTCGTGTCCTCTATAAATCAAATGAAATACCATTTCGAAAAGGGCAAAGTTATATTTTGTCTTTCTATGGCTCATTTTTAAACACATAGTAAGTGGTATCATGGATTTTTTTCATGCCCATCACTTGCTTGCTCCCAGTTAGCAAGTCCGAATTCTCCAGTAATTGCATGACCTATTCCTAAAATCAAAATAAACATCATTGCTATTTTTTGTACTTTATTTTTCCTTAACATGTTTTTTTTCTTTTCAGACTCATCGAAAACAATGGGACATCGAGCTCAACATCTCTGCCCCACAAATATTCCTTGTCGAGCATTTCACAGATAAAAATGCTGTCCTGTGTGTTGTGGATTTTGGTAAACTTTTGTTTACCAATAAAACAATTGCATCCTCGAGCGTTGTGGCTGATAATCAAAGTAGCATGAAAGAAGATGAAGAAGAAGAGGAAGATGAGTTTCAGACACCATGTTCAACCCCTCCAGGAAGCGAGACGAGTGAAATGGATTCCGTGTCATTCAACGCAACAAGTAACAGTGATTTCATTAGTGAGCTCTCGTTTCACCAGAAGCTTTATAACAGCTATTCGCTGCATCTGTGCGATCTGCAGATTTTAGTCGGTCATGTCAAAGATAATTGGAAACACGCCCATGTCAAAGGAGCATCGACTCTACATGTTCTCGATAGATTTAATATTAGTCTTCAGGTGAGTGTTGGTACCTTTTATTTCATTCATTTACCTACATTTTTTTCTCTTTTTTTTTCTTGAGATGAGGCAGTGTTGTTTCTGCACAAAGTAAGTTAAGTGATTAAAATTTTTAAAATTTAGTTTACTCACTTGCGACACATTTTCATTTATATTGTGCAGGCGCGTTTTGAGCGCGCTGCTCATCAAATGCAATCATCAATACTCATCAAATGCAAGTAAATTTACCTCAGTTTTTTTTCCTCTCACCCTGTCATTTCTTTTATTTTCTTATGCCCCTCTTTCAAAAAAATGGCATGGAAATTTCGGATTTTTCGCAAAGATGTCATAAAATCTACAGTAATTCGTATTTAATATTCCTAACACATCAAAAAATTCTCAAGATTCTAAGATTTGCTTGAAAGTTTGTTTTTTAAGTTTCTCCTGTTCTGCTTTTCTGAAATGAAAGGTATCTTGTATTTACAATCGATCTTTTATGTTTTTCAGATTGAAAGGCGTGTCATATTTACAATTGATCCTCAATTTCCTAGTCTTGTTTTAACTGGTAGTCTTCCAAAGTTAGTCGTACACATTAACGAACAAAAAATTCAAGCCATGAGAACACTGTTGTCCATCTTGTCTGGTGCTGGATTACCGTCACCTTTCCGGTAATTTTCATCTATTTTTTCTAGTTGCCTCATCCTTTAAGAAACAATTGTATTCAGTAATCTTATTTAGTCCATCACTTTTGGAAATTTTGAATTCCTGCCCCAGCCAAGGGCTAGAAGTTTATTTCATGGTGTTCCAATCTTAATTTTATCCTTGGAAAAAAAAAAACTTTCATTTTTCATAGGCAAGCTTAAAATTTCAAGACACTCCTTCAATTTTTTTTCATCTTGAAATCGTCTGCAAATTGCCGTAAGCATTGGGATTTTAATGCACACAAGGGAGGTTTAATCTCTTAAGGAGGTTAAATTAAAGGTCCTTTCAAGACACAATTTAAAATTTTAGTCTTAAACTCCTTACTCTGAAAGTAGTATGTTTATATCTGAAGGTTTTAGTTTTTATCTGCGTGTGTGTGAAACTCATTATAAAACATTATCTTGTAATCACCTCTTCTCTATTTTAAACTTTAAGATCTCCAGATACACCTTCAGACCTTGGTGTCAAAGAATTAGACTCAGAGCCAGTGGAGGACACATCAGCTCTACCAAATGCTGAGCCAATGGAAAGTGACCAGTATGCTCAGTTGCAGTTCACCGTCAACCAAATGTCACTTGAGGTAATTTTTCACTCATAAAACTACAATGTTTAACAATGGAGAAAACAAGGATAGTAATTTAAAAAGAAGTAGTAATTAAAAAAGAAGAGTCATTACTACTGCATACCCTCACAAGGCTTTGATACTGAGCCGTGCAATACTCTCTTTCATTCCGTTATGAATTTTCCTCTTGGAAATTTGAGCCTGTTCCAGTACTTTGCGCTGAGCTGTGTTTATTTTTACGTTTCTTTTGATTTGGAAAAGGAGGTCAGTGAGACGAAAATTTTAAGGCTCAGGGGAACCTGGGGAAGTGTTAGAGAAGGGAAAGAAAACTTTGCTGGACACTTGGGAAACTTGCCATAGAAGGGTACTGAGAGAACTAAAAAGTAATAATAGTATTTATTTTGCACAGGGTTTCCGGTGGTCTTGAAAACCTGGAAAATCAGGAAATTAACCGTAACCTGGAAATATCAGAGAGCATTATTCAACAAAAGTCTGCGTAATTTAAAGAAAAACAATCCAAATGGCATGGGAATGAAATAATTTTGAAGTCTGGGAAAAGCAAAAAAAGAAAGGGAATCAGCAAAACGAAGAAATTATGGAAACCTTGTTTGAAGTTGATAGAATGCTGTTTTATTCTTTAGTCAACTATAATCCTCAATCCTCCTAAAGGAGAAGAAAATATTAAGTTCTTATGAATTTTATTTAATCTTTTCCTTAGTGGACTTTCATATTTCTTGATTTTTCATTTAACTTTGTGGCTAGTCATTATTTTTGAAATTGTTAAAAAGTTTAGTGGTCCTTTTGGAATAAAAATTTCTTCCCATTTTTTTCACAGCTTCAGTCACGTGGTCGCGCAGTTGCCGAGGTCCAAGTATGTCGTGTGCGCGCTGCTTGCTGCCAGAAACTTTCGAATACGCACGTTTCCCTCTCCGTTCACTCTCTCCTGGTGGTTGATGCCCTCCAGACATTCGGCCCAGATTTTGAACTCCTCGCTGCTAGTCATAAACATGTTGGGATGGACAGTGTCAGTGGTAGTCTGAGAGACAGTGATCCCACATCACCGTCCTCACCTTCCTCCCCAGATCCTTTAGGCGGGAAACTCACTTCTCCGGCTATTTTATCACATGCTCTCTCTACATTGTCGCAAGACTCTTCGCCATCGCCACAGATACAGTTCAGAGGTAATATGCATAGTTTATACAATATATATTTTGTTTACGTGAATCCATGGTAGTTGAAGCCATCCATGAGAAAAGCTCTATCTTTTTCTCGAGTTTCAAGTTACTTTTGTTTCATGATACCAATAATTTCGACCTTTTTTGAGTTTTAAAAAATAATTTGACCAAAATAATGTTGTCTAATATAGTTCATAATATCACTCACAATGTTGTTTAATATCAAGATGGCTCCAAGATCTTGGTAAATCAAAGGTAGTTTTTTATATTTTTTTTAGAGAAAACTTGAAAAATTGATTAGTTCAATCAGGGGCGAAGAGAACGTGAGCTCATGGCAATAAATAGTTTTGGTTTTGATCTTCTTCAACGTTACAGTAAATGGAGTTTGATAGATAATTTAAACCAATTCAAAAATGTTATCACTCTTGCCCTAAATATTATAGAAACTTGAAAAACAAATTAATGTCAGATATTTTCTTGAACCACTTCCTTCCTGCTGATTTCTGGAAGTAAAAAGCAAAAAATTAAATACAAAATGTTGAATTTGACTATCTTATCTACATATTTAATTTCTGCATTATTCAGTCTCATCACCGATTGCTCCGTTCCCAACTACTCAAACACCGGTGATGGCAGCGCAAGACACGGAAGCCCTCATTTCTGTAGATCTACTGTTCGAATCCAGTCAAGATCCAAGCGGTGGTCATCTGAAAAAAGCCAACATTCAGTTCAATAATTTGGATATTATAGGTAAGTCAAAGTTTCAGATTTGTCTATTTTAATGATAAAAACTCAGTTTGCCCAATACACTGTAAGAATTAGCAAATTTTTCTTATAATTTTAGGTACAGAATCAAGGGATCAGACGTAAATGCATGTTGAAACTTATCAACCATGTATCTTGGTTTGTGACATTGCAGCCCTCTTGCCATACGTTATTTTTTCATCGGAGAACTTGTCCACATCACTTCTTAAACACTGCAGTGATTATTCTCCATGCAAAGTAAATTTTGAGAAATCTTCAATGGTGTTGATTTGTTCGCCTTTAAAAAAGTAAAATGGGCATGGAGATTATAAAGTATCGCGAATGAGATTTGTGGTTTAGAGGTTTCACCAACAATATACAAAATGAACCCTTGAATAGAAAACCTGAAAATATTTATTTGTTACAAAAAATGTGCGATTTGAAAACATCTTCAAAAGAAGGTTCACTCATGTAAAAAAATTAATTTTCTATTGCCGTAAAGAGAGTACTTTTTTAAAATTTAAAAGCTCAAGATGGGTTTGTGATTGATTTTTCTGTCATTACTTGAATTTGCTCTCAGTGAATGTAAATCATCAAGAAAATATTAAAATAACTTCTTGGTTTTTTTGTTTGTTTTCAGCAAATCAAGAAACAATTGTTGAATTGATTGGTTTCGCTAAGCGAATTTTACCCCCCTCAAAACCTAGTCATAATTCTCATCACTACTTTAATGCAGCTAATGGTAAGTCTGCCTTTGTGCCAAATTTGAAGTTTATGGTATTTTACTTTTGGTAGCATGTTCCTTAACATTTTGTTTCGTCATTCTATTGGCCATCTAAAACTTTGATTTTAATCTATCGGATTGTCATCGCAGTAGCCCTAAAATTTTGTATTGGCCCTTTCCCAGGTAGAAATTACGTCAATTTTTGCTGAAAATTTTCCTATCGGATTTAGCTGAAACCTTGTTTTAGTTTTCTTTAGCCATGAAAAAAAATCTATCAGGATTTGGACCCTGAATGTACTAGATTAGCAATCAACATTTTGTTGAAATAGGATTAGTGCTGGAGTTAATGAAAAGTAAAGTAAGGCACCATAGTGTTTGGAAAAGTTGCAAATGAATGTAGAACGCTCTAAAATTGGAGAGGCAACACAAAATATGTTGAATCACATGTATGACTAGGAAAGTAAGCCAAGACGAGTGATAGTATACAGATGCAACTTATTCTATGTTCAGAAACATTAAGGAATAATGTACACATATTTAGGTGGGAAATAATTTATTCATTTTTTCATTTAATCTACCTTATCGATTCTACGTTGCGTTTTAAGGAGTGTTTGTGTTATTTTGTATTGATTAATTACTCTATTATATGAACCACCTAATATTCTGTATGTGAAATTTACTTTTTGTTCCCTTTTCATTGTATTTAATTTTTCTTTTTTTTTTCTCTCTCTCTCTCTAGTTATGACCGCTTCTGTGGAGACGCTAGAATTTTTTGAACCTGATTACTTTATCAGACCGAGAACGCAGTCAACAGGGAACAAACCAATGCCTAAAGCAGTGAAATCAACCATTCAAACAGAGCTCACTTTCAACTTCCACCGTCTGAACGTACTCCTGATGCGGGCAGTGGTGAAGGATAGTATAGTTATTGGTCGCAAAATAGCAACTGCCACATTAAGCGGTGCCAAAATACAAGCTGTTGTCGGTAAGATTTTAGACCGTTTCTTTCTTTATTTGTAAATTATGATTTAATGCTTTTTCAGAAGAATATGTTTTTTCTATCTGCAAAGTTACCAGCGTATTTTGTTAAATGTGATACATCAAAAGTGGTGTTGTGAATTATAAACTCTATTTTTTTTGGTTTCTTAACCTAACAAAGAATGAAATCAATGTGTTTCAGAAAATATCTTCCTTTGGATTAAAGTTTGAGTCTTTGCTGACTTCTTCCTTTTAAAATTACAGGCTTTTAGATAATGCAAATGAAAATATAACAATTATATGTGAGTGGTCAGGTATTTTTGGCAATCAAACATGGGGAAAAAATGAACTGCACAATTCATTTTGATTTTTAAAACGTGACACAATCCGGAAATTTTTTTCTAGCCTATTTAACTTTTGAAAATTTAGGCTAAAAAGGCAAAATTAAAAAAAATACCAATAAAAAAGCCAGGCTAAAATTTAGGCCAATAAAATACATTTTTAATATTTTCTAAATTTTGCCAGTACCTACCTTAAAAAATTATGGACATGAATTTTACAAGTTTGGAAAAAAAAATGGAGACTTCAGATTAAATCTCTGAATCTTTTAGCCTTTCTTTACTGAGCAGCAATTAAGTCTGGTTGTAAAACTAGGGCATAATGTTAGAAAATAGGTCCATATGAGGTAATGAAAGTCATCTCTTTTCTATTCTATCCTCGCATTAATTTTTTGTTGTAATCCTATATTTTCAGGAAACGATCTAGTCGTAGAAGGCTCTCTTGGTGGTCTGCAAGTTTTAGATCTAACGCCTGAGGGCCAAACTCATCAGCGCATCATTAGTTTTGGAAGAGATCCTCTAACGGAGCCAGAGAATACGGACTTATTTTCATTCCTCTCTTCAGATTTGTATTCGATGGCCAACTCACAATCAGATAAAAAACAAGAGACTGGTGCAATTCAGGCTTTAAGTTTTAAAATTAAGAGACCTTTACTCGAACAAAGTAATTCCAAAAGCCAACAAGGTAATATTTCTCTTACAAATTTTTTGTATGCTTATGAAGAATAGTGTATTGAAATTAATAATATGTAGTACATTTTTCAAATGAATTTTGCTGGCTTAGAATTCATAGACTTTGAAGCTGATCACATTAATTTTTTTAATATTTTTACGCAGAGGTTTTTAAGAAGCCTATTACGGTTTTTGTGGTTCCAAGGTTAGATTGTATCCATAATTATTTTGTTGTATCATTATAAATAATTTGAAACTCTTTGTGCCACAATTTTTTTTTCCTTCAAAACCAGCCGAAAAAAATTAAGTCAGATAGATCATAGATCATCAGTAAGCTAGCGAAATATGTATATGTAGTCTTAAAATTATATTTGGAGGGTATTCCTGTTTTAAACTATGCACTTATCAAGTTATAATGTAGATTTTTCGACGCTATAGTAACGCTAATGTAAGTAATAATGTATGTTTTCTTTGGTCTCCACAGATTTTGCGGATGTTTTTGTTAAATTGGCCTCTGTTTGGTACACCCATTCTCCTCATTTTATTTGTGAGTTGCGCTCCTGTGCCACTGAATTTAAGCAATATCTCACCAATCTAGCAAGGCACATAGCATCTTCCGCAACGGAGATGGCTATGGGTCTTGTACATTCCAGGTAGGCAAAAAAATTTACTTGTGTTCATATTAAAGAATAAAAAGAACAAAAAAACTTTTGCCTCTAAGATATGTGAAATAAAAATGATATTCTCATGGCAGAGGAAACTTTTCTTTTCCAGGCTACGAATCAATTTTGTATTATTTTCTTCTTCTTCGTTTGTTTGTCAGGCTTTACTAATGAAGGAGTACCTTATTAAATACATAATTAAATTGCTAATTTTCATAAAAGTATGCCTGCTTTTCATCTAAAGTTTAAATTTATTTTCAATTTTAAGTTACGCCTTCATTCATGTACCATCTAATATGATAGAGAGGAAACATTTTAAAATAATTTTAAATTCAAAGTAAGAAAAGATTTAGCTTGTATCATGACAAGTACTTGAATTAAAGCTATTTTGATGCTCTTTTTAAGGATTCAAAACTTTCTGCTACCGAAATTTTAACCAACAAAAAATCTTATGGTAAAATTAACGAATGCCATTTTTTATGTAGAAATTAGAACCTTTTCTCTCGTATTTAGTTTCCATCTGTTCGCAAACTGAAAAGTCACTTCATTAAGATTGTTTTTCCTCCAACATTTTCAGGGCTGACTCCTTGGCGCAAAGCCTTTCGATGAGTAGCAAACTTTCATTGTATGGTTCCTCTTTTGATGTACTGGCCTCCCCTCAAAAGAGGCGTAGAAGTATATCGCAATCCTCAGATTCTCCTAGTATTATTTGTGAAGAAGAAACTCCGAACATCAATATAAGGTAAGTTTTGAGTAGAAAATGGTCTTTTTACATTTGATAATACTTATCATGTCAAATTCCAATAAAGGTTATTGAACTTTTAAAAAATTAAGGCACAACGTATGACACATACAAGGACAGAATTAACATGGTTTAACATGAAATCGAATCCACCTGTTTTTAATGTAATTTACTGTTGTATTTTGACTTTTCTATCTTCAGTTCTTCTTTTTTCAACTTTTTTTGACACACGCATCTTTTCATTTTGTCCCCACACATTATTTTCAGCATCATATCTTTCCTGTGTATTTGTATTTCACAGAACTTCTGGAAGGACTGTAGTTTGACATCTGCCGATACAGCAATTGTATCAAATTATTTTGAAATTTGATTCATTTTTAAAAAGTCTCAGTGTTTTATTCTTACCTCGCTAATCCAATCATCTTTACCAAGTACATATTCTTGAGAAATAATTTATTGTTGACATCATTATTGTATTCAGGTTGGACATAATCATGGACAGTCCAGTGTGCGTTCTGCCACGATCAACGAGTAGTCATGAGGTTTTAGTTGCTCATCTTGGGCGAATTTCCGTCACTAACAGCCAACCTTTTTACGGCGAAACCCCTTGCACCTGGAAAGAGGAACTGGACCTTTGGGCTCACAACAAAGAAAAATATCTAGTCGAAATTCGGGATATGAATCTCCACTCTCTTGATATCCAACCAAGAATTCTCTCCTCTACCAATCGGAACCAAAGCAGCTCACAGTAAGTATTCTTGTATGTGCCCAGTAATTAAACTTGTTTTTAAAACACAAACAGCACAGACACACTGAAAAACGTGTCTCTCTGTTCTGAGCGCGAACTGTCTGTAGGTTTGATTGTCTTGTTGACTTACTATCGATTTTTAGCCAAATTGGTCCTCGAATATCTAATGTTTTGAATATTTGTGAATGATGAATTGTTTTGTTACCAGTTTATCCCTGTCAGAGAGTCATTTACTTCCGGCTGCCAAGCTTTACAACTGCTTAGCTGATAGCAAACCTGTACTTCACGATACAGCAATAGACCTGCACATCGAACGTGAGGTTGGACGCAGTATTATGAAACAATCTCTGGAAGATAGTATTTTGCTTGATGGAGTCGATTTTAACGTTGAAAAATTGGACACCTTAAGCGTAAGTTGAAGCTTGTTTATCCATTACTGCTTCCTTTTTTTCCCTTTCATTTATTTCTAATCTGAAGTTATATTACTTTTATTCCAAAAATTAAAATTCTGATACTGTCTGGTTTTAAAGAATATGATAAAAGAATAACTTCCCTTTCATTAATGTATTCCTCAGTTGTATTTTTTCTAATTTAAAATTTGATTTTGAGTCTTGTCATGGTTTTTTTTAGCCAATGCTCTCCTTTCATAATTTTCTCTCTTGGAATCAAAGTTTCAAGAAAAACACTTCCCTGTTTACTCGAGATGTCAGAGGTAGCTTTTCAAAGTTTGCTACATTCTGTAAGGCTTTTCCTGGGAATTCTTTCGCTCTATAAAAATCACTGCCCTCCAGTTTTATTAAAGCATTTTTTGATCCCTCAGGAATTCTACTCCCCCCCCCCCCCCAAAANAAAATAAATAAAATAAGAAGGAAAAGTCTAGATCTTTTTCAGTTAAACCCATCTTACCTAACATGACCTGAGATCCGGTATTCTATGATCCTGTTTTCTCCCCACCCATCTTAACTAAAATCTGTAATAACATTTATCTCCAATTCATTGTTTCAGATTTCTGGATCTGTGATAACCTCATTAAAAGTTTCCTTGGCTCGTCAGCAATACCTACAACTCTTAGATACGGCTAATTATTTACTCACAGCTGACTATCGTCCATCCCCATCTCTGATCACAGCCCCGAACACAAAGTTAGATAACATCGAAGAAGAGAGATCAGCGTTATCCACCTTGGAATTAGATCCATCTTTGAGGCATCGAATGTTGAGTCATCTCACTGTAAATCACGTTGATAGTGCCAATAAACAGTTTTTAACTTTGAATGGTAAGTGAGTCAATTGTATGTTCAAGTGAAATTGTATCAATTTTAACAGTTATTCCAAACCCAGCAGAAAAGAAAATTTAAAACAAAAATAATACTGTCAAAATAAAGTAGCAAGATTAAAAACAAGAGAAAAAATTAAGAAATAACGTAAATTGATTCTGACAAAAGGTGATCCTGTTTTCTATAAAAAAAATAGATGCAATGTGCAAAATTACAAAAAATTAAATCAATAATTTTTTTTGAAAAATAGCTTGAATGCATGTCTTTTGCTGTCAGTTTTTACTCATTCAGTTTTTCTTGATTTTTTTTCTACTTGACATTTTGAGAAGCATCATCAATTTATAAAAAATCTGTCCAAATCATTCATCCAGGATAGAATATCAACGGAAAATAATCAGGACAATGTCAGTAGATTTGATCATACTTAACTCAGTTGTAAACTTAAAGCCCTAAGAATGTGATAGAACTCTGGCGTAAAAGATTATTCTCAGTACAAATCATCTCTCAATTTTATCATACGTAGTTTTAAAATTTTTGGGTGAAAAAATATGAACTGCTGCGAACATTAGATGGTGAGACTTTCCATCACCTAATTAAGTGTCTCTGGTGAAGCTAATGAATGTTGCGTTCAAATTTGGGTGCAGAGATGTAGCACATAAACCTAACTGTTTAAAATTTCAATGTTTAATCAATTTCATTTCCTGATTAGTAATGTCTTTCTTACAGTTGCATTTGATCTACCAGTTTTTTCAATGGAATTGAAGGCTGACTTAGGTTCTGGCGAGCAAGGGCTTGTCGACCTCTCTTTTCAAAATCTTTCCGTTTCTTATGATCGCTCTCTCCCACATGAAACTAACCTTCAGGTGAAACTTTTTGATGCTTACATCAATTTCTCATCTTCTTTTTTTTCAAGGAAAAAGGATGAAAAACAAAAGTACCCAACCTCCTTCATGCATTTCATAGAAATGTGCAGAGATAGGCTTTTCAACAGTTTTCAAGCAAACCAGATTTTTTATTTGATACTGAAAAGTGCATAATTTTATCAAACAAAATTTCAGTATCCACTAATCAGCAGGGTTGCCACAGTTGGGAAATACCAAGAAACAATAAATTTTGCCTTAAAACTATTGAATTCAGTATTTTTAACCATCTAGCATATCTTCAACAGTCAGGGAAATCAGTGAAATGTCAGGGAGTTTCATTTCCTAAATTTTGGATTAACTACACACATTAAAAAATCCTTAACTCAGTTTTTTGTTTCCTTAAAATTTCTCAGTTTCCTAGTTGGACTCTTTTTAAAGTGAAACATCAAATTCTCCTTCATTTTGCTTTTCATCCACTCATTTATCCACAAATAACCGTGCTTTATCGTACATTTTTCAGGTTTCCTTAAGGTCCTTTGTCATGGAAGATTTATCTCAGGAACAAGATTCAAAACACAGATTCATAGTTCAGTCTCTCAATTCATCTCAATCGAAGAGCCTTGAAATCCCAAGTTGTACGTATTTATCAACGTCGTGTCCAAATCTTTTACCTCATCAACTCTCCAAGATGCAGACGCAAACATTTTGTGGCTCGTTGCCCGATCACCTCCACACTGAAATGATTCTCGGTGCCCCCAGACAGTCAACCCTTCCAACAGGTTTGTTTCTTGTTGTTTTATCAATTAGTATTTTACCAAATTTCAACATTTAATGTCCTGTTTTTCTTGTTTACCTGTGCTGTGTATTTTTCAATCTTGCAACTAATCCAACAAAATGTTTTGTAATTTTTGCGCATAATAATTTTTGAACGTCCTTCTTCATCAGCAAATTATTTCACCTTTGAATGCCTAAAATACATCAGGCTTAACCAATATGTCTGTGGTAAAAATTAAAAAAATTCATCATATAAATTTGGGTTATCAAATCTCCTATTTTGCTTCTATTTTTCATGTCAGATTGCATCTAGAAACATTCAAACCTTGGCCCATTTTTTTTACTCTCTTTCAGTGAATTAGTAAATGGTGGCACAAACGCCTATAGCTTTTTGCGCACTGCATTGATCTTGAAATTATCTGCTGATCTCATCAATTATTTTAAGATTTCTTCTCTGATTATGTTATTCATTTTTGTTTTCATCATCTCTTGGTTCATAGTCCTTTTTAAAAATTAGGAATTTCGAATATTGTTTCTGTTTAAAACTCATTATTTCTCCCTCTGTCTATTAGGTATATCCATAAGACCTACAAAACCATCAAGACAGGATCCGAGCGAATATCCGAGCACTCCTCCGCCATCACCTCGCAACAAATCATCCCCGCCCTTATTCCCGGAAGAAAACCTTGTATCCATCAATGTTTTAATGTATGATGAGGAAGCATCTCAAAGAAAAGCTAATAACGTGAGCTCTTTTCCTATTCTTATCATTTTGTTTAGTCATTAAGAAAGGAATTCTAAGGATATTAATATGAAAGAGGATTTTGAACCAAATATTACTGGATTCACTTTGCTCGTTAAGTTTGAAGTAAAGTCTCACCAACATGGTGACATAAATTGCTTTTCAATTCATTCTAAATACATTAAAGTTCTTATTGGATTAAAAATTCATTCTCGAATTTTAATTCTAACTCGAATTTTCTCATACATTTGATCTCATTGACTGTCGCATCTTTTGAATCGATCAATCTCACGAATCTTATTTCAAGGTCATCAAATTTTTTATTCATCAAATTTACATGAAATTCCATTAACTCGTTTAAAGTTAATCATAAATCTTTTTTTCTTCACGTTTCAGGTCTACAAGAAAACTGCTGTTGATTTCAATAGTTTAGATGTCATCGTCAATGTAGAGTCATGGGTCGTTGTTTTGGATTTTTTCGGTATCAGCTCCCCAGATGTTGAACCGAGACCTGTCGCAGACCCCAAGAAAATAAATCTCAATGCTCGCATGAATCAACCAAGTGTTAATTTAGAGCAAACTAAGATAGATGATCAGAGTAAGGGTTCCGTTGAAATTCAGCGTAATTTACTTACTAGCTTTATTAGCTTTTTTAGCTTTATTTTACTAGCTTTATTTGTCTTTTATTGCCTCTCTTTAATTTTATTCAATATAAATGGTGTGCACAGTAATTTTCAAATTGAAATAATTCAAAATATTGTGTTTAAGTTTAATTTCTGCACAAGTCTAGTTTTGCAAAAACTACTGACATTCTATCTAGTGAAGTTTGGAAGGGGCTCTCAGCCCAAAATTTTTCTCTGACAGTATTATAATACTAAGTAATCTGTCGTCAGTTACATTCGATAGTCGCCCTTTAGATGCTCGACTGTAAAATAGTTACTTTCTCTTTTCTTTATGAGAAGTTCCACTCATATCTTTCCCACATAGCACAGAATCTTATGTCAATACTGATACATATTGTTGGATGTTGACATGATATCACCAACACTAATGCAGTATGATATTAAGATTGTCGGTTAAAAGGTATACCGCGTCAGCAGAATATAACACTGATACCTTCAATATATCAAACAACAGTATTGAGTCAATGCTGACGAGGTAAAAAAAAAAAAATAACACGAGAAGAAATTAACACGAAAAAATGAAAAAAAAAATATAGGAAGAAAAAGAAGCCTAAGAAAACACGGTGTTAATCAAAGTTATGATGAAAGTCGAGCCGCGCACTGATGCTATGCATGCTATAACAGCCTTAACAGGCGTGATTTTAACCCGAAACACCATCAGCTCCCTGTGGCTCAATGGCAGAATACTGGGCTAGGAATTCCACGGTTCGGGTTCAAATCCACCTGAGGGCTTCCGGGTATTTTACGCTACTAAACGTCGCAGGACATCAAGTAAGTGGTTTATAATATTCAATACTTGTATACTTGTGTAATTCATGTTTCAAATGTAATACATGTGTAGTACTATGAAAATGACGGCCATCGTCTGAACTTTCATATCTACTTGACAGAGTGCGCTGAGTGTACAGACGTGTCAGTGTTAAGGTAGTAATGCATACATATTGTCGGTGTCCTGCAGTGTTCTGATGACCTTGTCATAACCCTGATTTCCATATGAAATCAACCTTTTCGGCCAATACTGTAACAATATTTTGACAGCTCCAAATCAGTAACTAATAAATACTGGCATAGTCTTGATATAATATTAAATCAGGATACATCAGCATTTTATAAATACTGACACTACTGACGTGTCAGTACTATTGTAGTGTTATATCAATATTCTGTGCTATGTGGGTTAAACTTAATGGGTCACTAAACTATGAACGAATTTTGCGAATACATTTGTCTAAAAGGTAAATGAAGCGTAGAACACGATGTGTACTGAAAACGCGGTAAAGTAACTCAATAACCGAGAAATACGCAGTTCAAATCACGCATCTTATCCGCAAATTTAAAACGCCCCGGTTTCGCGCCGAACTGAATGATGTCATCCGGCACCAATCAGAAGCGAGCACGGGTTTCTACAACTTCCGTCCAATGTCTATCTACTCCTCGTATGTGAGAACAAAACTAAAGTCGAACTTATATCTTTAGAATTTAAGAATCAAAACTCATTTATGTTACCTTTAGTAGACAAGCAATAATTTCACAAAGAAAGACGTTTTATTTTAACATACGTCAGTGAAAAATGCAAGAAGATTGCGATTTGACTACCACAGTACATAACCACCATTAGTTTCCCGCCATTCGGGTGCGTTTGAAATGTCTTGCAGTTTTTAGAGTTTTCAAAAGCGGTTTTTTCCGCGATTTCGGCTCCATAAAAATGCGGAAAAATCACCGCATTATCTACTCACCTAACACTTTCAGAATATTAAATAAAATAAACAAGGTTTAGTGACCCATTTTGGAGTATTGATTCGAGCAACAATTCATCTCATCTTTTTTTTCTATTTCCTTTTTCTTCTGTTCAGGAGCTATCAAAGAGGAGGAAAAGGCGGAGCTGACTGTTAGCATTTGCTCACTTTCCTTGATCCTCAACAAGACTGAATATGAAATCGCCCGCGCTAATGTTTCCAATTTACAAGCAGTAGTTTTAAGTTCCCAGTCAGCGACCATAGTTGAGGGCACTGTCAACTCGCTGAACCTTTACGACCTCACGTCACATAGAGGACTGTATAGCAATCGCTTTATCACATCGGATCTGAATATTCATCTCTTCCGGTAATGAACAAGATTTTTTTGTCTCTATTTTAAGATAAATATAAGCATCTTAAGCTGTAATACCAGGGTAAAAAAACCATGTGATGATAACCTCAAAAAAAATCAATCAAACTTCTGATAATGGCTATCAATCAACTAATGTACGTTTTACATGTGAGCCATGGAAAATGTGCACATCAATCAATATGCTTAAAAATCTAGCATTGGAGCCAAAATCCACCTGAAATTTGATTTCTCCTGTTCGAATATGCCAATGATTCCAATCGTTTTTATGTTGCAGGTACAGTGATAGGAGCTTAAGGCATTTACGAGAATTTGACACTCATCTGAAACTAGTCATGTCCTCCGTTGTTTATGTCCACTCTCAACGCTTCGTCACGGAGCTTCAAGCATACTTTGCTCATTTTAACCGATTGCAACGGGTTCTTGGTAGTATTCGCTCTTCAACAAAAGTAAGTACTTTTTTATTGAGTTTCCTTCTAAAACTGTAATGTGTAATGCTAATTTTTAAATTCTTTCATAAGTGTCTGATAATGAGAGAATCTGTTATTCAAAGGAAGCGTCCAATTTTTGAGTTGATATTGCTATCTAGTGGGATAGTCAAATATGTATTACATTCAATTTGAGCAGTCATTTTATTTTTTAATTTTGACTTTAATCAGTTTTCTGTTCTAATTTTTTTTTTTTTTTTTTTTTTTTTTTTTTTTTTTTTTTTTATACAGTCTTAAAAGAAATTAAGTTTATTGAGTGTTAAGAGAGAAAAAAAGAATCTGTCTGCTATGTTTACTTCTTGGAAAGTAAAATATTTTTTTCTTCCACAGGCAGCAATTTTCAGTTGTGAAATCTGATCATTTCTTGTTTTTCCTTTCTTAGTGAATCAATCAAAAAAATTCTAAAATTGAAAATTTTGTTGTCATAAGCTATTTTTGTAATTGTAAACTGTTGGCTCCATAGTCAAAGGAATAGTTCTCACCCAGATCCCATTTGTCTTCTAATAACCTTACTCCAATATTCATTTTGAGTTTTGACCATTTCAGATTCAAGGTGATCCAGTCGGTTCTCGCATTTCTCTAGAAATCTCCGCCAAAACTCCAGTTGCTTTGGTCCCTGTGAGCTCCCGGAAACCAGATCTATTAATTGCAGACTTAGGAAAATTAACAGTGAACAATACTTTCAAATGGTGTGGTGATATTGGAACGTTAAGCTACCTGAAACTAGATCAATTTGAAGGTAATTTCATTAAACAAATATCTTTTGAGTGTTTCCTTCTCGAAAGTATCTTTATTCAATTTTAGTGTAATGAGTAATATTGTAGGTTTTTCTTTTGAATAATAATCACAAGTAAGTAAAGTAATTAAATTAATTTTCTCTGAAAATTACACAAATCACCTAATTACACCAACTAGATGATTCATTGTATAAAAATATCAATTAAACTGAGGATACTTTTAATTTAAGTGCTGTCCTCTTTCTAACTGATACTAACAGCTAGAAGTCCTTCTCTGAAAGAAATCTCGGATATCACGTAAATCAAGTACAGATCTTACAGTTTTCTCTAACTTTTTTGTGATGTAAATTCTATAGAAATTTCATTCAAAATCTTTGCTAACAAAGAATGTCATATCAATCAACAGTAGATCTGAAAATTTACTCCTGTAGGATTATTTTCAGATATTTGTCACCATTACTTGTGAAAATCTGAAATCTTTAAAACTAATTGTGTGCTATTTTTCTTCTTTCAGAAAATGAAAGATGTTTGCTAGACGTATCCCAAATCGAGTTATTGAACATGGATCTCTATGCTGGATCGCTTCTGTCCTGTGGCTTTGTTGCCAGCGTTTCCAATAGTTCATGTGTGCTGTTTGGTGGTTATTTAATCGAGAAGAAAGGACCTAGTTTGCTGCAAGAAAAGTGCGAATTGAAACTACAAGTCGAGCGCAATCTAATGTCATCAGTTACTAAAATCGTGCCAGATCTTAGTATAAGAGGAAATATCACAACCCTAGCAATAAGATTGGATGTACCCCAATACCGGTTGGTGAGAGGACTCTTAACTTACAACATCGGAGAAAACGTTGCTGAAATTTATCAGACTATTCCAGTTCAAGTAAGTCATTTTACTTTTCCGTTGAGTCTTTTTTCCTATGATTGTACACTTGGTCAACTGTATTGGTCATCAAAGTGATGTTAACAGGGTTTTTTTTGTTTTTTGCGTTCAGCAGAAGTCAGCATGATTAAAAATAAAATACATCTAAATAGAAGTTTTGTTCAGTGATTAGGAAAAATTCAAGATTTTGAAGACTTTGTAGCCAGAAAAAAGCAGAAAAAGTCAGAGAATCGAAAAATGAAGAACTTATGGAGACCCCGTGTCAGAGAACAGCCTTTGGGCAAAGTAAATAATTAATTTTTAAACTCACTTTTTGACCAAGTACACTCTAACAACTGTATTTTTTTCTAGGATGACGAAGCCTCTGCCCATGACCAAGTTTGGACAACCCAGTCAATACTGTTGGATCTTGTCGATGTCAGTATTACCTTGCTAAGTGATTACTCAGAAACTGATATCGTTCAACCAATAGCCTGTATAAACTTCATCAAGTCAAAATTAACTGTTGAATCTTTCAGCGATCTGTCTCAAGATATCGACCTTCTCTCCCAAGAAATTCTAGTCATTGATTCAAGGTTCCAAAGTAAGTATTGAAGTGTCTTTTAATTAAAGTAGAGTCGATTATTCGACCTTTTTGAGTGGAAGGTAGTAACTGCATAACTTGTCGCACTGAAAACTAATCTGAATAAAAGCTGCAAAATGTAGTTTGGAAAGTGAGAAACATCATAAAGCTGGCATCCTTTTTAATGAATTGTATACCTATTGTTCTTAGTCATAAATTGTTATCGTACTTTTTCTAAAATTATGCATTTCTTATTATTTTGTGCTATTAGGAAAAAATTACTTCCAAATCATTCTATGTAATCTGTTTCAAGTCTGTGTCAATATTTTTGTTTGTTTTCTTATTGATGTTCTCTCTTTTTTCAGGTGGAGCTGTCAAACCTGCAAATGTTTTTACAAATATCCTACAACCAATAGAAAAAGAAAATTTTAGCAATGTACAAGCTGTAGTTCATCACCGTAAACGCTTAAATAGTTCCAAAACTACTGTCCTCTTGAATAACATGCGAGTTATGCTAATTCTAGATTGGTGGGAAACCATGCGAGACTTCATAATGCAAACCATAGACTATTCATCAGAATTAGATGCTTTCTATGACAGTGCAGCCACAAGTGGAAATCAGCTAAACGGACCAGCTGCGGTAGAAATGAAGATCAACATTACGGACTCGGAAATCGTTGTTGTAGAAAACACATCTCAGTGGGATACAAATGCTGTTATCCTCAAAAGTACAACCGTCATAAACTATCGTCCAGCGGTCTACGAGAAACCGTTGTCATGCAACATAAACCAGTGTGAAGTATTCTCCTGCATTTTGGGAATGGAAGAAGAAACTGCCCTATCGATTATCGACCCGGTGACCGTAAATTGTGAGATTGTCACAAAACATTCACTCCCTGGTGATGCGGTGCGAGTGCTAAAAGTCCAAATGCACCATCTGAGCATCCGTCTGTCGTACCATGACGGTTTGATGTTCATGCAAATTTTGAAATCGATTCCCAAGCAAACATTGAGAGCACGCACGAATTCTAACTCACCGAAAAAGACAAACAAACAGCAACAAATCGGCAAGTTAGCATCTCTCGGATTCAGTTTAGCAGACTGCGCTGTTGCTTTGGAAAAGTGCGAAGATTTAGACGAAGCAGCTTTGTGGCTGACACAAAACTCGACCCCGGTGGTGTCATCGTTCTCTCGGACAGCAGACTTTGACTCGCACATGAACCCGTCAGGGCTACATTTTGATCGGGTCGAATTGAAAACTGAACAACTCAGCATTTGCATCATTGATGACTGCAGAGACGCTGACGTTCCTTTGATCGAAATCTCTCTCTGTAACTTGTTCCTCAAACAAGGTATCACCGGCAAGTTTGGAGAAATCTATTGTTCCTTAAACTGTGATTACTACAATCGGGTTCTATCCGGTTGGGAACCTTTCATTGAATCATGGCTGTGTGAAATTAAGTGGCAGTATTACAGTAAGACTGGCACTAGTCTCCGTAACGAAAGGCTCGAACTGAATATTCTAAGTCAAGAAGTTCTGAATGTAAATATCACAAGTACGTTTATCGAATTGTACAGTAGCGTGAAAGAAAATTGGTATCAAGAATATAACTCAAATCAAAATACTCTGGACGATAGTGATAAGGCAGCAAGTCCGGTCAGCTACCGCAGGAGGGCTCCGTTTATTCCGTTTGCACTGAAGAATCAAACCGGCTCAAAATTATGGTACACCCCCATTTTAGCAAACACCGATAGTGATTGGAATCTGGAGACTTCTCCTGAGTTGCAAGCTTTGGAGGAAAATAGATCGTGGCTTTGCGTCGAGCCTGGCGCTACGGTGCCGTTCTCTTTCGAGATGAGAGCAAAAGTTCGCCACAGGAATTCTCATCGGCTCTGTGCCCATCGACTTGGAGTGAGGGTTGATGGGTGGCGGCCTGTTCAACCGGTCTCGGTGGATCAAGTGGGTATCTATTTCCGGCAAGCAGTTCCGGTCACCATCAGCTCGAACCTGCCCCCCACAAGGATTGTCTTCGAAGTTTCTCTTGAAGGCTCTGCGAGGAAGCTCATAACAATTAGATCTGCTCTTTTGATCCAAAATAAACTTGAGGAATCGATTGAAGTCAAATTGGAAAATTCACCGTCCATGTCAATTGGAGGTAAGTGTTACTGATGTATACTGTATTTTCCATGTTTGATAGTTGTCCGCTGATTATCGAAATTGATGGACAAAGCGATAGACAAATAAGACATAGGGAGTATGAAGCAATTCTATCGGTTGAAATGGATGGCTCCCATAGACTAAGGTAGAAAATGATGGACTAACTATAGGGTTTCTCGTGGGTAGCCGTTAGGTAGTCAATTACCCACCTCCTTTGTCTATTGCAACCACCCGCTTCCACCAATAGGATCCCTCCAAATCCCTTTTGTCCTCTTTTGTCTATAGCTTTGTCTATCAATTTCAATTATTGGCCCGCTGTAATACTTGCTGATAGTAATTTGCAATGTAAATAGAGTAGATATCGATCTGATAATTTTTGATGAAGTTACTAACAGCAAAATTAGGGTTCTCCTGTACCATAGGCAGAACTTAAAATTAACTTAAAATTCACTTGTTTTCCATCAGAAAGTTATCCAGGTTGATAATCCCTAGGAAAAACAACAAGATACTTAAGGTCTAACTTTAGTTTTAAAATTTAAATTATTTGTTAAAAAAACGTAGATTTTCAGCTCCTTTGATATCATTTATCCTAGTTAAAGTATAAATGTTGAAAGTACTCCATTTTTTGATGCTCTGTTTCAGCTGACACAAGTCACATCACAGTAATGGAGCCTAATTCATGTGAAGCCGTGCCTCTTACGCACACTCTAGCCCAAATAACTCTACGGCCACTACGAATGACGAACGTACCCTCTTCTCAATACCACACTTTCAGCAGTCGCCCAATCGCATGGCAACACGTTCAAAAACCTGGCGAAATCATCGAAGAAATACGACACTGTCATATAAACAAAGGGCCCTCTTATAAATTCTGCACGGCCGTCTATCGAGAGAACTACCCTTGCGACGTAATTAAACCATTGTCACCACCTGTAATGAATCTGTGGGCACAACCTGCTCACATAATCACGATACTAAGCCCCATCATAATCGTAAATCTGCTTCCTTACGAGCTGCACTACATCATTCCAGACGTCGCGCTTGGCAGAATCAAACCAGGGCAAAAAGCATTCTTGAATGAGATCGACCCTCTTGAAAGCTCTGCCGAAATCAGTTTTCATCTTGAAAATTTCCCCAGTGCTGGGACTGTGATAATTCCAGCCTCGCCATCTAGTTTTGTGGGAAAGTTAAGATTACACGACAATTTTGGCCGGAAATTACAACTGAAAGCAACTGTAAATGTGAAAAAAGGCGAGGGTATCCAGGTTCTCGTCAGTGCAGCCTATTGGATAATGAACAAAACAGGCCTACCAATTGTTTTTAAACAAGAAGGTGTGTCGATCGAAACAGCCGGCCAGTCAGAAGAACATGAGTTTGCCAGAATGATGGCACCTCTTCTCTTTTCGCTTGCTGATAATGAAGCGAGCCCAACTGTAGTTGCTCGAATTGGTAGTCGTGTACACAGTGAAACATCTCCTGTCTGGTGCACGCCATTTTACCTACAGCCTGGTGTTGCCGTGCGACGGTTGACAATGTCTCATGCAGACAACAGACCAGACATTGTGTATGTTGTTGGTATCGAAATTCGTGTGGGTCGAGGTTTGTACCGTGAAACCAACATGGTCACCCTTTCAGCTCACTTTCAAGTCCACAATAAGTCAAGTTATCACCTGCAACTCGCACAAAAATGTTTGGCAACCGCACTCGTTAACCCTGGAACTCAGGGTTCATACTCAGAAGCGATGCCAAGCTCCTCAACACCCTTTCATTGGCCGCTACTCGATAAAGAGCCCTTAATGTGTGTAAGAATTGTGGATGTTCCAAATTGTATGTGGTCAGGAGGTTTCCACATCGATCGTAATGACTCATTCCATATCAATATCAGGGATATTAGTGGTAAAATGTACTTTTTACGCACAGAGGTTGTTCTACAAAAAGCATCATATTTCATCATTTTCATGGATGCTAGTACGTTACCTCCGCCTCTCCGAATCGACAACTTTTCTCTAGTCTCGCTTCAGTTTTATCAAACCAACATCAACTCTGCAAGTACTGTCAGAGCAAACTCTTCGATTCCTTATGCCTGGGATGAGCCAATGTATCCAAAAGTACTTACTTTAGTCGCGCCTGGAGGAGTATCTGCTGATTTTAAAATGAATGAAGTTGGCTCAACAAACGGATTGACGTATGAAAATTTTATCTACATCGCATTTACTGGAACTTTCAGCAGGGTGCCTCAAAGTAATTCCATTTTTGATCCGCTTGATGTTCAGTGTCAGCAGTTAGTTCTGGATGTCCCTGATAATTCAGATAGGGTGATCCTGAATCGCAAACAGCAGGGAGCAAGATCTCAGCTGTGGCGAATGACAGCTGAGGGTCAGTTGCAGCATGAAGGCTCCAGTCCCCCAAGAGATCCGTCCGGAAAGATGCCCTCTCCAGTTTCTGACAATGTTATGGTTAGTAGAATTTTTACTGCCACTGGAGATATTCATTTTAATGAAAACAAATGTTAGAAAAGTTAATGCAAATTATTATTACCTCGTACAACTTTTGTCTATGTTTCAAGCCTCTTTAAATTTTTTCATTCAAGATCCTGAATGATTTTGGTACAGATTTCAACTTGCTTTTCTTCACAACGTCTCAGAAGTTGAAAAATAAAATAAGCCAAGTTTAACAGGAATACCATTTCATGTTTTGAAAGAAAAATGGGTCTGTTATAGTCTTGAATTTAAGTAATCGCAAAATTTCTCTCGTCAAAATTTAAAGTCAAGAAAAAATATCATGAAGAAAAAAATAAATAATGAGTAGTCCAGAGAACCAAAAAATTTATGAACCAAAAAAACTTCATGATGGCTGGAAAAGTTAAAAATATCCGTAAAGTTAATCTATGGAGGAATAAAACTTCCTACCTCTTTTTCTGGGTTGAAACTTACTGCAACTTAGTGCATTCCTGTATAATCCGGTCCCACTTTGATTTGTTCATGCCTAACATTTTTATTTTTCTGGATAGATATGTATTCGATGTCTACTTTCTCTCAATGCAGATGTCCCAAACTACTTTTATCTCTCTTCTATCAGTTTATAGACTGACAGTCTTCTATCAGTTTATCAGTTTTCTCGTCATATATGACGAGAAAATACCATATCAGCTGTAAATGTAAAAAAATTTATCTTTCTAACTTTTTCTTGCAAAATAATAATGACCTCCCGAAATTTTAACTGTTTTAGGTGCTAGACATATCTGGTCCTGCTCCTCAGCCAACTGAATATTCAGGTTTGGTGCTACGTCGACCACATCAAAGGAGGAAAATGACTCAAACATGGCGTTTCACCGAGGAAGGACGGCTGTGTTGTGCACACAACAATATGTGCGTTCAAGCCAAGGATGGATTCTTCGGTTTAAGACCTGGTCAGTTTAAAATACATTGCACACTTTTTGTCATTAAGTACTCAGTTAGTTTAGTAAAATTAAATTCCGACTGCAAGCCTATTACCGGAGGTATTTTTTCCACATTAGAAATCAATGACGTAAGAGATTTTTATTATGATTTTAATTTGGGAATAAAATATGTTTAGGGTGATGCAATTTTCAATCAAGTTTTTTCCTAAATGATTTTATCAAAATTCCTAATGCAGCTTTTTGGTTTTCAGATTCTTCAGGTCAATTTTGGCAAAAGTGTATGTATTGCTATTTATTGTCTAGATGCAATTTTTTCCTAAAATTCTTTTTTCGCACCTCCTAGACAATTTTAATTTTCGTTCCCTTGGGCTCTGCAGTTAACGTTTAGAAACAGACAATATGCTTTGCTTCCGACAACTTGTATTCATGATGTTTTGCAGAATTTGTATCATACTGAACGTATCAATGATTAACTCAGAAAAACTTGTAACTCAATCAAGTATATTGCAGATCTGCTTTTATTTAGCAATTGGAGAGAGAAGAATATCGTTCTTTGAAATTCATGGTAATGTGCAGAAGAGCATCAACAAATGTAATGAATCTCTAAAGTTGATTCTTTTCTCTTCATAAAAATAAAGCATGAGTGGCAATTTAGAACATGTACATATTGCAATCAAGTTTTTCCTGTTTCAAAATTGATACGCCCTTCTGCAGTGTTGCTTATTAACTATTCTTTTGTGGTGTTTTCTTTATTCTTTTCTTACCACTGCTTCAATTTTTTCTTGGTTTTCTGTTTTTCTTTTCGGTCCCTATTTTTCATTGTGACGTCTGATCCTACACCAAAATGAATGCAGCTGTTTTTTCCCCGTTTTTTTCAGCCAATGCATCCCAGTACAATAAGATAAAGTGATAATTCAAGCACTACCTTGATCATTATTATTCTATTTTATCTATCACTGTCAGTCTTTTTTAATGAATCAAGAAAATATAATGTCAGCAATCCATAAGTCCCTCAGTCAGTTCTAAATATTAATAGATTTGTGCTCACATTTTACGTACGAAGAATTAGAAGAATTAAATATTGAGAGTTGAATTCAATCTTTTTCCTCATCAAGGTTTCTTCGCAGGCAACATTAAGAATGTATGAATCATTGTACAGTTTATACCGTTGTACTTTTGGTTGGAAACGAGACTTTCACTTTTTTACATTCATATATTTCATTTTGTTTGTGTGCATATTTCAGTATCTAATGCATTATGGTTTTTTGTCACCAGGGAGTGAAGCTGTATTAGGACCACCGCAAGCTGTTTGTCATCAACGAACACCAGAGGGTGTGCCTTTAGAGCAAGCTGTATCGAGACAACGATTAAGGCCCGGCTCTGGGTTTTTGTCTGGATGTGTCACAACAGACGGACCAACTATCGTCCTTCAGATATCAGACATTCATGAAAAGGTAACTATCAGATGAAAAGTTCAGTGCAGTTGTATACTGATACCTTTAATTTTTAGTGTATTTTCTGAAGGAAATACACTATTTTTTTATTCATTTCAACAGCCTGGTGGAAATCAATTTAGGCTCTTAGCTCAGATTTGTCAAAAATGTTTGTTTATCTCGTAAGTATTGAAGTTAATAAATGTTATTTGCGTTTTTCGTGTTTTAGCAAGATTATGCATCAATGGAAGACAAAGACTGGGTGCAGATAGCCGTTAGTCAGCGACCCACTTCTCTGTCTCATAACAGTAACCTCACACCTACCTCCAACTTCAAAGAAATGATGGTATGCATAACTTTACTTTCTGTAATGAATTAAAAAGGAAAAAACAAACAACAATCTTTAATTAGTAAAACAGAAATATTTAAAAAATGTAGTAAAAAAAAGGAAATCAGAAAACAAACCTAAAAATCAAATCGTAAATATTTTTCCTTTGATTTAATTTTTAAAGGAAGTTATTTTGAATGTCAGACATGTTTACATCCTTACCAAGACCTCTTTTTGAAAAAATTTGAAAATTTGAAGCTTTCCAACAATATTTCGATTTTGGAGAAAGCATGAATAATATCTGCCTATTTATATACAAATCAGCGCAACTAGGTGCGTAAAATAAATGTATACATGACTTATTATTCAGCCATTTTCATTCAAATATTTGAACTGCAATAGGTCAGTCATGCAATTATTGTATATGTAGATCACCTAAAAATAATACAATCCGTCCAAACAGCAACTTTCTACGTTCAATATTAACCGAGATATCATGCTTTGAAAAGTTTGGTTTTCGATGTCATCCACCATGGTGGTGACACTCTTGGTTTCTTCAACCTTGCTTTCATTGGTCAGTGTAACTCTGATGAAACCAACGTGGAAGAAACCAAGGGTGTCACTACAGCGGTGGGTGATGTCAAAAACTCGACTTTTCAAAAGGCTGTATCTTGGTTAATATTGAACACAGAAAATTGCTGCTTGGATTGATCTTATTAGTAGCTCATCTACAAAAACCAAGGATCAAAACACGATTCTGTTACTAGCGCAACTGACCCTATTGACACAGAACTAATAATGGAACTAAGGCTGTGATGTAGGTAATGATTCAAGCAAACACTGTGTGACAATCAGACTAACGTGTGTTTCCTTTTTCAGTTGAACATAGATTTGAGGTCTGGGATGGGCATCAGTGTCATTTCAAGAAAACCCTGCGAAGAACTTCTGTTCTCTCGGCTAACTGGCATTCACTTGGTGATGAAAAGAGCCAACAATTGCGAGAGCACCATCTTGAGGATTCAAAACTTGCAAGTGGATAATCAGCTTTTTGAGGCACAGTGTCCCACTGTATTGTATGTTACACCAAACGGTCGCTCGTCACTTCCTGAAGAGACAAACTCTCCGATTCTGCGGTTGCAGATCGATAAGTGTCTACCTAAACCTGGATCGCAAAACAATACCGAAATCATCCAGGTATGCACTATCCTTGGACATTAAATTGCTCTAAGAACAGGTGCTGTGTTGTTTTAAGTATTCTCAAATAACATCAATCATAACATAATATCATGAAGAAAAGTACCTTGTGCCTGTAATTAACATACATATTAGCAATAACCATTTTACCACAAAAGAAAACAAAAAAAATAATGCCCCATCACTCTTTTTTTTCTATTTTAAATTTAATAAATCTCATAATTCCTCTCACGGCTACATATTTTTTTAAAAAAAAAAGTTGCAATTTTTTACCATTCTTCAAAGAAGCATTTAAAATGAGATATTACTATACGAATTCATACCAAAATTTGGAGAGGAAAGTATCAGTCATTCAAATTTAACTGATTTTTTATTATGAACTCAGTATGATATCCTATTTTTATAATGTTTTAAGGTTTAATATGTAGCAAAATTTGTATGAAGGCATCTTGATTAACATGTCTCAAAATTTCTGGCTTGTATGTATTTCATTTTCTCAAAAAAATATAAGGTAAATTTTTTCACACTAAAGTCTCCAAACTTAGCATAAAGAAAGCTTTACTCGCCCTTGAAAATGAACCATGCTTTTTTTTCCTTCATGAAGAAAAAAACGGTGCTACTATTTCACTAATCAACTTCCTTGTTTTTCACTTTCTGAATCAATTTATTAACTTCCTTTTGATCTAATCCTCCGTCTGTTTTTCTTTTTATCCAGTCATGCATTTTAGAAATCAAAAAATTCTCCGTGATTCTTGAAGAGCAACTTGTTTTGAAGATGTTTGCTTTTGCCGGCCTTGGCCCTAACGATCATGAATGTGAGAACACTTGCGAAAACGACTACGAAACCCAACGTATTCTCACGGAAGTTACATCAGTAAATGCCAAGCGGTATTATTTTGGTGTATTGCAGTTAGTGCTTGGTCGGGTACGTTGACAAATTTTCCTTCTAATTTTGTACGATTGTAAAAAGTTTACAGGTTTATTTTTGATAGCCGATTGATTGATTTATTTTATTGCATTTGCTAGTAATGCTCTAATAATTGTTTGAGTCTCTCATCTTTTCAATTTTTCTTATGTATTTTGCCAGTTTCTTACAACTTAATAACTAAAGTTTTACAACAAATGGAAATATTGCAAGGCTTAATAACATGTTGGATTTTTCAATGAATAATAATTAGAGCTCTTGCTCTAATAGTTGGTCAGATTTTAGAGTACTACGAAAGATTTGCTGTTTTCATTTATACATTGAAACTAAGAACAAGATCAGGATGGCAAATCTTCTGTCTTGCTCTTTAATTTGACTGCTAATCTGGCAAGAACACTAACAAACAAAAGAAGGGAATTTGTCTTTTCTCTCTGAATGGGTCCTCTTTTTCATGGTCATCCCATGTCATTGATCAAGTATTTATACTTTTGATTTTCCAGGTACGCTTAAGTGTGACGACTAGCAGTAAACTCTCCACCAACTTGAAAGCAATCAAACGAAAACTAGGACTGACTCTCATCAAATTTGAGGATGCGGCTGTCGAAATACGTCCTTTCATCAGAACCCATATCTTCGAAACAAGTCAATTCCTGTTTCAACTTCTGTTGAAGCATTTTAGAGATGTAAGTATCGATCATTTTTGTAAATTTTCCTCTTAAATCAAATTTTTTGTCTGATTCATTCGCCATCCATGACTGTGCATTTTGAGTTATTTACACAAATAAGACAATGGAAACGGCAAACAGGAAATAATTAAACATATCCTTATCTTGTGGATGGAAGATTTTTAAATGCTGTTCAATCAAGAGGTTCTAGACACTCGCTGAGTCATATGTAACTTTGGGGGAAAAACTTAATTTTATTCTGTTTTAAGGAAAATCACTAAATTTTGGCTCCTTAAGTACTGATATTATTGTCAGTGAATACAGGTCATTACTTTCCATGTTATTTAGTCAAGTGGTGAGACAACAAACTCTCAAAACACTTAAGTAGCACACTTAAAAATCTTGAAGAAAAACAAAACACATGGGCGAGATTCAAGCAAAAAGAACTATCTCCATTGTGATTTATGCTCTTTCATGCATGTTTTTTTATGGACCTCAGAGCTGATGCTACAATGGAAATAGTGCCTTTTAGTTTTAATACATCTATGTTTTTGTTCAAATAGTCTGAAAGGTCAGACCTGTCGAAGAATCTGTTTTAAAAATTTCATTAAGTCCCAAAAGTTTTCATCAGAGTGGTAAACATCGGAAGTATTTTGAAAGTTAGTGAATTCAAAATTTTCACATCCCAGGAAAAGAATAAAAAAAAATTACAGAAAAATTGAAACAAAAATCGGGATTTAATAGCGGATCAATCTGAATAATAGCCATCACACTACTATTTTCTAAGGTGAAAATTGGGAAAATGTTCGCAGTATTTCAACGCAAATAATTTTATAGAATATTTCTCCCGTAATTTTCAAATATGAAATACTTGTTGCTCTATTCACATTAGGTATGTATACCTATTTCCTCCATTCAGTTTTAATTTAATACTATCATTGCTTTGTTCGCAGGAATTAAAATGGCAAGCTGCAATAATTTTGGGTTCAGTTGATTTCCTTGGCAACCCAATCGGATTCTTCAGTGATGTATCGGAAGGATTTTCAAATCTAATTTATGATGCTAGTGTCGGTTCATTCTTCAGAAATCTTACTCATGCTGCCTCAAATTCTGCTGCTAAATTCACTGGTGCGTTTCATCCATATTTGGTTGAAATCTAACAAGAAATTCATTTTAGGAAAAAAAGGCTCAAAGCTTTAACTGCTGTCAAATTCGATGGTGGATTAAATTTTCAGCTCAGTCATGGAGTCAATTGTTTAATTTTTTCTTACTAGACTTGTGTAAGAGAAAATTGCAATGTAATTTTGTTCTGAAGTTTCTATCTTTATTTTTTAAAGAATATCGATGGCGAAGTTGGAAATTGCGAATCTCATTTGTTGTATATCTCTGCTCACGTCATTTTTTTTTTAGGTAAACTCACCAACAGCTCCTTATTAAGTTTTCTGTGAATTTTCTTCACTCATTCAAAAACTATCGTACTTAATTACAAGAGAAAATTCTGATTACTCCTCATTGAATAAAATGTAACATATTCAAAGGCTTTTTAACGTCATTATTGAGATATGCATTAATTAGTGGCATTACCAGCACCTAATTTCTTTATATTTGCGAATTCTTTATGGAATTATTTCAATTTTAGGCTCCCTCTCGGACGGCTTGGGGCGTGTAACCCTTGATGAAGAACATGAGGAGACCCGCAGGAGGATTCGTAAACTCCACTCTGGCACAAGTCAAGGGCATCTTGCCGCAGGATTAAAAGGCTTTGGTTATGGTTTGATTGGTGGTGCCACTAGTATCGTAAAGCAAACTTATGATGGGACAGCAAATGATGGAGTTCAGGTAATTGGTCTGACTTTCAGAAGTTATCTTATTACTAAGACCATTACATAGTTCTAATTATTCAGCACATGCCATTTTCACGGTCAGTTAAACATGCAAGGTCCTTTGTAAGGACAATTTTATTTCTTGTGAACCATTATTACTGAGTTTGATATTATATCCACCCTTGCATAGAATATTTAGGTTTTTGAAATTGAAATTGTTTGTACTACATCATTGAAAATGAAGAAACCTCAAGAGAAATAACGATCAAGATAATTTTATTCACAGTGAATAATTTAAATGGTAGAGTGATAATTTTGATAAGAGATAATTGTTTTTATACAATAATTTACCTTCAGATATGCATGATCGTACAATTAACTTTCTAGTCATCATGTCTGTATTTTCATGATGAATTTGCTCACTATCTAAGTGATTATGTATCTGTAACTCTAAGTGCCAGCGATGCTAAGTTTTCGTAAATTTTTCTAATTTACAGGGATTTCTGTCTGGTCTGGGCAAAGGTCTGGTCGGTACTATAACCAAACCAGTTGTAGGAGTGCTGGATCTAGTTTCTGAGACTTCAAGTGCCATCCGAGATTCAAGCAGAAGGTAATGTCTAATTCATATCAACACTACAATGGTGTAAATTATGACTCCCTAATGTAAATGTTCAGTTACATACTGTTATACATCTGTATTTAGCAATGTATGCATCTGGGAAGAAGCAACAGGGACGTCCTGTAAAGGGGTGGCGGAAGGGCGTTGACAAAGAGATGTTTACAGACAGATGCAAAGAGATGTTGCAGGGTCAGTTGCCCAATAACATCGTGGAGAATAAGCATATGTGGCATTTGGGTGTCGCAGGACGCCAGAGTGTGTTGTAGGAGCGACTTTATATATATACATCTAGAATAATTCCCCATGAAGTGAGGATAAAAAGCTAAAACCAGCACTCATGGTTTCGACTAAAAATCCAATGTGTCCTTAAAATTACTGCCACTAAAAATTTGAACCGCCTGATTTTGTTCCCCTGTCCAAAAGACTGTTCGTATTGTTGTCTGAAAGAATCAATGAAATAAGTATCTCTCCCTGTTCCTTAATTTGTGACAATAGAGTATGTATTTTTGATGCTAATGTAAACTAGAACAAATTAGACAGTTTCTCTGTTTTGACTGACAAATAGTATGTATCATCTTCCTCTCAAATTCTGCTTTTCAGAGCATTTTTCAGTCTCGCATTTTATTTATCATTTTTGTCTTAATTTCTTTTTTTCTAGCTCAAGCAAAGCCATTCCAAAAAGAGTGCGGCCACCAAGATGTGCTGTGGGGCCTGCCGGCTTGTTACCGGTTTATTCAAAGCACCAAAGTCAAGGCCAGCAGTACCTGTACACAATCAATGAGCACGATTACTCTGAATTGTAAGTGGAATACTTTTAAAGAAAATGTCTCATAAAATCCGTATCTTGGCTCTCCTATAAAATTGCACTCTAGTATTAGGCATTATGTTCACCAAAGCGCTGAATGCCCTATGCATGTATAAATCATGTGATCTTGCTGAAATATTTCTACCATTTACTTAAAAGATATTTCCTTTTATGGAAATTTTTATGGAAAAAAAGATCAATGCATTGAACTCACCAACGTAAGTCACGAAAATATCACAACCGTGCTGAAAGTACCTCATTTTTCAACATTTTTCAACATTTTTTATTTCAAGAATTTACAAAATGATACATATACCAAAAAAGAAAGACAATGTAACCAGAAGAGTAATCTAATCACCAGTATTTTGGGATCTAAAAGATGTGAGATCAGCGATTTTATAAGCCAACCACTCTTTTGAAAATGTTTGCTCATCTTTGTATTTTTAAGCCTGTCTAAAAAGGTGTCTCTCTTATTTATTAAACAGCAATTGTTGTCAAAATTCTTATAATTTTATTGAGGTTTTTAATTTGTGTCCTTTGTTTTCTCTTTCAGATTTATGGCATATGAAATACTGAGACCTGGGTCAGAAGACCTCCGAATTGTGATTTCGACCCAAATGATCCGTATCTTCACTGTCAATGCAAGCAACACTCCCTCTGTTGTCACAAAAATCAATTTAAAGTGAGTATTTAATTAAATTGAATGTTTGTTTCATAGAACCCAGTTTGTTATTGTGTTAGAGTAAGATACGGTGACTTAATAGTCGCTACTTTTCAAGAGGTATTCTCCATTGTTATTTTGCAAAGCATACTTTTTAGCATATTTTATTTTATTTTTTTAAGGCCTGCCTCTCTGATGTTTTGCTCCTTTTGGAGTATCCTCTAGTGACAATTCTTAGTTACTCAACCGATATTACATTTCATTGTTACAGTCATATTCTGCACTGCCAACCTCTAATATTACAAGGAATGGAAGGCAATTGGATGTATTATATTGAATTGAAACTGCATAGTGATTCAACGGTCAGATATTTTGAAGAAGATCCAGTGAAGAAACCAAGAATACGTTGTGAAACCAAAGATATTGCTTTCTGGGTAAGTTAATCAATTCTTTCACCCAAGTTAGAGGGAAAAAATGGTAATCTAAATGCTTTTAGACAATTTGAACCAACTTTTCAATTTTTTCTGCTGAAAATTGTTCCGCAAGTTATCTGCAGGGACCTACAGTAAGTATGTTGTGTGACTGTAAATATTAAGAAATGATGATGACAATTTTTCAAAAAATAAAACGTAGGAAAAAACTAAATAAAAACATTGAAAGTATGAAATCAAACTTTGCCTTATTTTTGCATCTGTCTGCATTTTTTGGAACTCCCTGATTCCATCATTGAAGATTTTTTTCTTACCATTTTATCAGTAGAACATGGTATGGAACAAAAGTTAAAAATAGCTAAAACAATATTTATATTTTATTCAATTTGTAACAATTTTAAACGCTCTGTATCTCTCTGAAAATAGTAAATACATGCAAGAACACTATTAATTTTAATTTTCCAAATTAATTTTGTTTTGAATTTCATTTCAGGTATCAGAGCAAATAAACTATGCTCGTAATGTCTATATGGAAAGACACATGACACTTTCCTCCACCGCTGATGACATGCCAGGTGACTAAAAGGAGCTCTCAAGCAATACTTAGTATTTATGATAGCATTAAACTAAGAAAATCATATTTTAGAATCGGTAGAATCTGTACTGAATTTTGAATTAGCATCTAGAAAGGTTTATGAATTTTCCAAAACTCTTTTTTAAGTAAGAATTCCTTGTTTTTCTACCGAGCAGAATGATTCCGGTTTTCTGGATGCTATTTTACCCATAATTGACAATTATCAGGATATTTTCATTTTTCCATTGCTGAAGAAATTCATTTTTATGTATTTGATTGAATGTGGTAGATTGCACTCTCTGCCATTTATTAGAGTTGAGGTGCGCTGCATTTATTTAAATATACTCACGCTTATTAGTGTCTAGAACAAATTAAGCTCTGAAAATTGTGATTTTTAGTAAGCAGTAAAAGTCTCTTTAATGGCGAAAGTATTATGAACTATTTTTCAATCTTCATGTTTTTGTGGATTTGAAAATGATCAGAAACGTGGCTGTATAAATTTATTTTGAACAAAGTGATACTTTAACATGCTATCATGAGCTTTGTTCAACTTTCTTCACAAGAATCGCATGACTAAATTTAAGCTTTTGATGTTCAAAAGACTTATGACTAACTATGTCATACTATAAAACAAAGGAGTAAATCACGCATGAATCGATTTTAACAGAGACGCATCAAGTCGGAATCGAGATAAAGAGGTTGGAAGTTTTATTACTGCATGAGGCTCAATGTTGAGGACAAATTTTAATTTTTATGTTTTACATATTTTTTCTCGCCTTTGAATTTCTGACAGGAGAAAATCTATAAGCAGTTGAATTTAAAACAACTCCCAATTCATTTTTTGTGACTTGGGGCGTCTCTGCTTAACTCGGGCCATTTGAACTTCCTGTATGGAAAAAAAAAGATTTTCTTAGACGTAGACTGTTTAGAGTGTTTTGTTAGTAACAGTCGTAGTTCAGTAAACTAACATTTTGACTTGTTTCTCCGGGTTTTTTGACTGTGTAGGTATATCAAGTATAAAAAAAGAAGAAGAAACAGTAGACAAGAGCAAAATATTTTGTAATTGTCACAGTTCTTTGAGAGGCTTTAAGTGCTTTAATTTTATGCTTTGGAAGGTTGAAAAAGTCTAAAATGCTCATATTTCTCAATATACAGTTTTTTTTCTAGTTCAATCTTTCATCTCCGAAGAATGATGTATGTTCTATATCATTGAGTAAACTTTGATAAAAATGGGATTGATAACTGATGAATGGATTGTATCAGCGACTGTTTTATTTTCTCTCTTCTAAGTTCATGTTGTGCCTTACGTATTGCATGAGTTAATTTTTGCAGAAAATCACTATGGTAGGGGCGTACCTCCACTCATGAGGCTCTCAAAAACAAAGTGAATAATCAGTTTGGTTAACCAATCAGAAATTAAGATGATCATTAAGATGGCAAGTGCTCTATTTTCTACAGATTGATCATTGGTTTTATGATTTTGAAGAGGAAAATATGTAAGCATAGAAAGGCAAGGTATGGAAAAACAAGAAATTCAGCGCCACCTAAATTTCTATATTATTTCGTTTAACGATTCCTCTGATCTCTTGAACACGATGAACTCTCAAAATCGAACTTTGTGCCCATCACAAGAAAATAAGAGCTGAAAAGTGCATTTTTTGGCCCTCTTACATGGGTTGTCTTAAATAGAAGCTTTTGCTTTGTGTTAGTTGACTCTGTAAGGCACCCTCTTATTGTTAGGACGAATTTCCTTATTTTCGTCTGCCATATCCTCCAGGCCTGCAAAGAAACACCAGGAGGAAAATCTCCTCCATAACCAGTAAAATTTGCAACATTTCTTCCGTGAATCAAGTGTATATATGCCAAAAAATGCACTTTTCAGCCCTTATTTTCTTGAGATTGGCGTGTAGAAAGTTAAATTTTCAAAGCTCATTGTGCTGTAGAGGTTGTAAAGAATGTTACATTTAAAAAACATCTAAATTCATTGAGTACCAAATTTTTCGGTATTCTATGCTTAGCATCTGATGCTCGGTGCATGGATAGTTAGTCCTACTTTTTTCCCAAACAAAAGCATTTTACATGTCAAATTTGTTGCTAATTTTCAATCTGCACAAAATGTAAATCATGAATCAATGAATGATCATGAATTGCCTGGAGCTCATTTTTATTTTTGAACGGGGAGAGGGGGGGATGCATTTTTCCCCCTACATATTTCCAAACTTTCATCATGGGAAGGTCATGCTCTCACCTGAAAAGATTTGATATCATTGCACATGTATGTTAGGCTCATGAAGCACTGAATATTTTCGAAATAATATAAAAATTTTTAAAATATTATATATTAATATAATTTAAAATTTAATAATCTTGATTTTAATAAATTTAATTTTATTAATATATTTATAAAAATATTTTTGAAGCGGTATTATGTAAGTATTGTATCTTTGTACACAGTTGTGAACCTGTTGTTTTGTTGATTTTTTCTGTTAAAGATTTCCTCTGTAAATATTGCGCTAAGTCAATTTATCAACATCTAAAGTTTAATTTTTTTAAACCAAAGTTAAACCTATGTATTTCGGTATTTGTTTAAATTATTTTTGCGCCCTCCTGAATTTTATTTTTCTATTTTAAGAGTTGGTGACACATTTTAATTTGATAAAAATACGCCACAAGCTAACGTAGACCTAGTTTTAAGTAATTCCAAATTCGGTAGTAATAATTTGTTGTTCCCCTTGCCAGTCATTAGAATCTTATCCTGTAGATGTGGTTGCCTGTACTAACCATCCATATAAAAAGTAATTTTTTTGTCTTTGGAATATTTTTTCGAGAAAAACTTTGTTGCAATAATTAGTGTCCAAGTATTGACCCCAGAATCAGGTTACATGTAGGAATAAGTGTCTTTTGGGTGGAATATTAACATGGATCATTTGGGAAATTAGCATCAGGTTTAGGCTTGTGTATATTTTTGTAAGTTCCTATTTTTTCTTTTCTGCTTATGTTGAGGTACACTGCCATATTAAGGAAGTACGGCGTATGAACATTCGAGAGTTGCGAAATTTCCTCCTATAAAATGATTCTTTTTCAGAAATGGTGTGAATATTTTCCCTTGACAGTTTCAGATAATTGAGATTTGATCGCAAATAAAATTCACAGAAGCGTCCAGGGGAAAATTTTACATTTTATCACAGGAAATTCAATGTCTGAAAGCTCATATGGCGTTCTTTCTTAGCATGGCAACACAGTAATCCCTTGATTATCCGTCGATTTGTAGTGAGGGCTGCATTAGATATTGAAAAAGTCAGAAATCGAAACTATTTAAAGAGGCTGAAAAAATTCCGTTTCAGATCTGTTTTTAACCAGAATGGACAAGCTTGGCAAATTTTGCATTGTATTTGGTGAACGTATTTATTTAAGTGAGAGGAAACACCTAAACCCACATTTATATTCAATTATTTCCTGAAAAAACTAGTTTTTGTCGTTTTGGCTAATTTTTTTTGCTCAATTTTGACTGTATTGGATAACTACCGCGTTGGATAATTAAGGGTCGGATAATCGGGATATTACTGTAATTAGTCGTCATTTTCTTTTTTGATTGATAAAAAACCATTTTTATGAAATGACTAAAAACATGTAGACCTGACCGGATATCATTTCTGAATTTTTAAAGACTCCAACTTCAAGTCTTGAAAATTCCTAAAATTTATGTTGCTATTATTTCATTCAATTTACTTTCATGTGTACAATATTAATAATTTGAATTAAATTTTTTAATGCCAGTAAAACCTACATTCTCAAGCAATATTTCTGACTTAAAACGGTCTCTAATTTTCCTGTAAGTGATCTTTTCTTTCTTGTTGCCCTTACGGGTAGGGGAAGTATTTTTTTTACTTCTACGAATGAACCGTTAAAATACGTACTTTCTTTCCTCTCTGTAAGTATCTCCTTTTCTCCTGTATTGTTTCCTTGTCTCAAAATGTACAGAAGAAGCAGAAATTAAGGTTTTTATCCCACTAGTCTTTTTCTTTAAAGTTTGCAGAACAAGTGTGATCACAACAGAAAATGTATGTATTGATTTCATTTCAACCTTTACTTAACTCAGTGCGAATGTTAAATCATCAAAGAGTAAATGATTATCCTTTCCCTGGAATTGTTGTACAAAGTTTTTCACATTTATTTTGTTACGTTCAACTGTTTTTATTTTAAGTTACCATCTTGGATGACTTTTTAAATAAAACCAATCTGAAAGATTTTTCCTTTTATAATACCTAATTTTCTTTTTTTCCGTGATCCCAAAACACCCGTGAACAATGTTTTTAATCAATCCAAATTTTATTTGAAGCTTATGCGGCAAGCATGCATAACACTTCAAATTCATAGTAGAATCTCTATGTTTTTTTTTTTTTTGATTGAAGATATATTTAGATATAACTTCAATATTTGATTGAAGATTTGTAGAATTTATTTCCTTGTCTGGAATGCTGGATACGTTATTTGCAAAAAAAAGTTGTAAACTTGCAAATCAGATTTTGCCTTCAAAACGTCTAGATACCGACCGCATTACAGTAACGGTAAAATACTAACGAGGAATAAATGCGTGAATTAATAAATCAATGAATCAGATTCGTTCGATCAACAGGCAGTCTCCTTAAAAGTGCCTTCAAAACGTCTAGGTACCAACCGCAATACAGCAACGATAAAATACTAACGAGGAGCAGACGTATGGATCAATGAATTCAAAAAACAGATTTGTTCGATCCCGAATATGTAATATCCTTAAAATCGCCTTCAAAACGTATGAATACCAAACGCATTACAGTGAAGTTAAAATAGTTGTATTCAAAACCGCGACATTATGAGGAGTGCATGCATACTCACAAATTACACATCTGTTGCTCTTAATCCTCGACTGTGGCTTATTTCATTTCGGAAATTTTAACCAACCTGAAATCTAACAGGTGTTGTCTTCCTTTTATAATGAGAACTAAAAAAATGTAAAAAATGGCACAGTTTGTAGGACTAAAATTTTTCAAGTTAAGGATAAAACATATGTCCTCTTGTATAGGAATTTCAATGAATAATAGTTAATTATGGAATGATTTTATTGACCCCGCAAATTCACTATGAATTATGTATATGTATTTTTCCAAATTTAAAATTGGCACAGGTAATAAAAAGTCCCTTTACACGTATGAAGATTGTTAAAAGAAAAGTGAAAAACGGAAAAAATAGCACTTGCACATGGATTTTTGACTTTTAATTGAGAATACCTACACCTGCCAAAAGTATCACTACGGGATCCCTTTTTCTGAGGAAGAATGGTCTCAGACACCTACACCACCCTGGTAAAAATTGGCGATATGAGCTTTGTTTCAAAATACCATAGGAGTTCTTATAGCCGACTGAAGAAGCCGATAGAAAATCATATAGCTGGCTGTAGAAAGTGGAAAAAATCATACGGCCGGGCTAAACGAAGCCTTAAAAAATCATACAGCTGGACTATAGTTCCTATCGCCTGGCTGTTGCTTTTTCGCCATCGGCTATAAAAGGCTATAAGAAATTATGTAGAAATTCGTGTGCTTTGTAAATCCTTAAGTATGTACGGAATCACCTTAATATTTACAAAACGCACATTATATTTTCCTTTACTACATATTTATTTTATCAATTATAATGAGAATAATCCATACAGAGTGTGCAAACATTTCAAAGTCATGAGTTGAAAAACGCTGACTCCACGAGATTAAATATTAGAGCCCAACACAAAGCGGAGCAGCGGCGCACTGGCGCCTACAAACCCAACAGGGATACTTCACGCATTGCGCAATGCGTGAAGTATCCCTGTTAGGTTTGTAGACGCCAATGCGCGTTTCGCGCTGGCTGCCCGCCCGCTGCGCCACGCCGCAGCGTACCAAGGCGCTTGAAGCAACTATTTCACACCAGAGGTATTGCACAGTATCAAACGAAATTGAAGGCGCTCCAACATATTAGGAATGGCAGGCATCCTTCAAGAGTACGGAGCTTTCCTCGCAAAATAAATCAAGATAATACGGCCAAAAAAGAGAACGGTAGTCCAAAAACTCACTAAGTCCTAGCATCCGTATTTAGTAACGTTTAGCATACACTTTATCGCCAGGCTGTTGCTTAATCGCTATCGGCCATAAAAGGCTATAAGAAATTGTGTTGCCGGCTGTAGAAGCTATTGGAAATCTTACAGCCGGCTGTACGTCTATGGTATTTTGGAACACAGATTCTACTGCCAATTTTTACCAGGGAAACGGAAATGGAGAGTTTAACAGAGAGGAACCAAGTCACATCAAGATCTTACCGAGAAAGAGGTTTTGAAGTATTACTCCTACTTTACATTCAATGAGAGAGAAAATATTTTTCTATTACATTAAAAATATTTATTCTCGACTTTAAATCTTTGTCCGAAGAAAATGTGAGGCTAGTAAAGCTTGAAAAATTTTCAAACTTATTTTCCCATCTCGATCCCTTCTTGCGGGCTGAATATTGATATTGATTTACCAAACTATAGACTAATAAGACAAAAGTAAAATGGAGCGATCCCATTGGTCGAAACGGGTGGTTGTTAAGGGGGGAAATAATGGACCAACCATAGGACCCCTCGCTAATTGCTGCTGGTTAATATTCTACTTACCTCATTCGTCCGTCAAAACCACCCGCTTCCACCAAAAAAAATCGCTCAATTTTCTCTTTGTCTTGTTTGCCTATCATTTTTTACGATCAGTCTGTCGTTAAATTAAAACTGAATCTGCACTAATCTTTCTTCAATATTAAATCTTAAGCACTAGCTGTTTCAGTAGTTCACCGCCACGAATCATTAACTCAAGTGTTAGGTATTTAATTCCCTGTTCGGTTTTCAAAATAAAATCATTTATCTATTTATTGTGTCTGAATTACCTAATGTTGCGTGACATAAGTACCTATTCAACTCGTGCTTGCGAATAGTACGAAATATAAATAGAATCTCTTGGTGCCACCGCAGAGGGAGTTTAAAATAAAGGCATATCGATAGCTAAGTCGTACATTTTTTTCTCAAAATGGCTAAAGTCGAAAAATGTGCACCTCCATTGCTAAAGTCGAAGAATGATTCCTTCATCACAGCGTCCATACTTCCGTGCTAAGGAAGATCGCCGTATAAGCCTTCAGACGTTGCCAAGTTTCCTCCGATAAAAATCTAATTTACTGAGAAAATTGTGAATATTATTTCCCAAAATTTTCAGTTAATTTTTCACGCAATTCAATATGAAATATCTGAAAATCTCAAGGAAAAATATGCATGAATGGTGTCTACAATACATGTTTTATCAAGGGAAATTTATTAGCTCTCGAATTTTTATACGGCGGCGTTCCTCCTTAGTACGACAGGATAATTTTCGTGAATTGTTGCGTATAAGTTCCGTGAAAGTAATTCGCCTTCAACTGCGTCTGCAGCAATTGTTGTTACGAATATGTTGTGCGTCCTGATATTAGCTCATTACATACTCGACTATCGCACACATCATATTTTTAACAACAATTGCTGTGGACACAGCTGAGGGCGAATTGAAAACAACCGTATACCACACGTTGAAAAACATGTTAGCTCTCCAAAGAATATTGTTACCAACAGAGGGGGTCATTTTATGGTCTTTAAATAGGAGATTCTCGAAAAACTTTTCAACATAAACTACGTTTAAAAGCAAAATAAAATATACCGCACCACAAATTTTCATTATTGACGGGAAGTTCAGGATAAACTTCCCGCCGTAGAGAACCTGTACTAACGATGAAAATTTCTAATAGCGATATATCTCGAAATTAGGATCAGCCAAGATTTTGATTTTTCGCCATTTTAAGTCCACTCCACACGCACCATAGACTCAACCCCTGCAAACCGTTTTTGGATACATTTTTGTCGCATTTATTGCTTCAAGACCAGGGCTAGATTGAGGGGGTGGCCACATGGGCCTCGGCCCATGGCAGCAAATCTATAGGGGGGGGGGGGGCAAATTTTGCAATTTTTTTAAACGTAGGTATAAAAAGAAATCGGATTTAGAAAAAAAATTACAAACGAGAAGAGGCGACAAAATCTCTAAATTTCTGAGAGTATAGTAATTTCTACTTTTGTCGTCTTTCAGTGATACAAGAGGCAACACCTTTAATTAGTCGAGTTAAGAGAGAAACCAAACACGCAATTTGGCCTGGAACGGCGCTACTTACCTAGAGAGAAATGATGACGAGGACTTGAGATGAAAAGGAGAAGCCCTCGATCGGCATGTAACACATATTAGCGCCTACAAGACTGCACGAATACTTCACGCATTGCATCAAACACAGTGCGGTCATTGCGGACAGCGTGAAACGGATAGCGCCTACAAGAATGCATGAATACCTCAAGCATTGTGGGAAACAGTGCGATCAGCGTGAGACGCATAGCGCCTACGAGACTGTGTGAATACTTCACACATTGCGTCGGCACACAGTGCGGTCTGCAAAGCGCGGCGGCGGAAGTTAAAATCATTAATCCACATTTATGTTTGTTCTTTCATAATTTTTTCGTTCATTTCTTATGAATGGAAGGCCTTGTCCACACAGAAACTTAAACTTAACACGAAACTTAACTTTCGCGCAAAGTTCCGTGAACTTTTGCTAGTAGTGTTGATAGCGCTTTCCCAAAAATGTATTCAACACGAGTAAACGCGTCTTATTCACCCCTCCGCCGCTGGCACGTTTACTTGATGGTTTTTACTGGTATTTCAAAACGAATGAGAAGGGAACGGCAAAATACTAGCGGCCCATGCTGCCGTGCAAAGGAAGAACGCCGTATGAACATTCAAGAGTTGCCAAATTTCCTTCCATACAATGTTTATTTTTGAAGAAAATCATGAATATTTACCCTTGAAATTTTCAGACACTTTCGATAAAATTACTAACAAAATTATCTAAGAAATTGGGAGAAAAATATTCATAAGTTGACCAGAAAATTCGGGTTTTATGAAAGGAAATTTGGCAACGCTTGAAGGTTCATACGGCGTTCTTCCTTAGCACGTCAGCATGGGCGACAAGTAGGTAAATCCGGCCCTGTTCAAGACCACTGTGCACTAACAGCAATCTACGAGAAACCATTTGGCTAGCCCATCACTTTCTTATTTAGTCCATGATAACCTCCTATTTCAACCAATAGGATCGCACCATTCCCCCTTTGTCTTCTGTTTCTATTGCTCTGTCTATCAATTCGAATTATCAGCCCTCAGAGCATTTCTATTCACGGAGCCCGAAGTCGACGGGAGGCGACGATACGAAATTCAAATCTCCCACACGGGTAGGGATTTTGAGGAGGGGGAGGGGGATGTGACAGCCCATAGAAAAAGCACGTGCTCAAATCATCGGTCGCCAGTGCGAAGATAAGTCTATTCATTTTACGTATCGTCAATCATATTTCAAGTGTCGGCCCCCATCACCGACGCACAGATCGGCTCAAGAGCCGATTGTTTGTTGATAGTATCGTTCTCACTTTCAACTAACCCAGTTCAGTTTCGATCCTCCACCTCGGGCGCGAGAGTGTAAATAAATAAATAAATAAATGATCGTGGATAAGCTCAAAGCGGGGTTCCCGGAATGTTCCCCGGAAGTTCCGTCACGGTTGTTCGTCCCCGCGAAGTTCGCGTGGAGTATTGTCGCGCCGAATCTGTGTTCTTATCTGGTGCCCGTTTGTATTTTGTTCTTCGGAATCTCGGCAAATGGTGAGTGGATGTAAAAACGAATTTTTCGATATGACTTACTGAGAAAAAACTCCGGCCGTGAAAGCCGTTCTACGGGCAATTTAGACATACACGGAAAAAAATTAAATTCATGCTGATTTAGCATTTAAACTGTTAAAAAAAACCTGTCAAGTTTCAAATGCTGATTTTACATTGCAAAAATGCTAACATAACATTTTAATAATTTGTTCGTTTTGCAGTGGGGGTAGTTACGTTAGCATTTGTTAAAATGTAAAATCAGCATTTGAAACTTGCCGGACATCATTTTAACAATATAAATGCTAAATCAACATTTAATTTTTTTTCCGTGTACCGTCCGCGTTCTGAGCTCAAAGGCCGAAAGTTTCGGGCGTATCACCCGGAGCAGCTGAAGCTACGGCTTCAGCACCCGGAACTTTCGGCCTCAGAGCCCGGAACGGACGGTATGTCTATATAGCTCGTACATTTTTTTTCGGTGTGTCGTTGTATCAATAATGCCACTATCGTGAAAAAAAAAAAATCAGTGATGGAAATTTCGCACGCACTTTTTTATTGCTTCATCTGAAAGTGCTTGAAGAGCGGATTTCGCAGTATTTTTTTTTAAAATTTCGCTGACATGAGAAATAGTTTAAAAATACATTAAAATGAGATAAAATACACCGCTTAGTGATTTCATTTAGTGACATTTTCCATTCAAACACATGTATTTTGGCAGATTGAGATTTGGCATATAACCTCCGATAATTGTTCAATTTATGAACAAAGGGTATTCTTGTGTTGTTCAGTACACTCGGTAGTTTCCACTTAAACACGAAATTCATCAAATTTCAGCCTGCGAATTCTCCATGTCAACAATACGATATTAGTGTGTTATCAGTAATATGATAATGAGAAGCTATTTGACTGCTAAAATAAGTCGTTATTGTGATGTCAATTTGATATCATAAAGTATATCATCAAAATTCATTATACTTCAAATTTCATCTGTTATAAGTCCCAAGAAAACGACCCTCATCTTTTATATCTTTCATCATAATATGAAATCAAATGAGTGACGCATAACGCCCAAGGCGAGAGGCTCTTCGGGGGTTGGACTGCGAAGTAATCAGGGGTCGTAGCACCCAAGTGAAAAAGTATATTTTTAAACAATTGGAAGTATCCATTGGACTTATGTTAGCAAGTTTCTCCAGCCAAAAATTATGACAAGTTGTAATTTATGTACTTCTTTGTTTATTTCTTTTTTTTCGAAGACGTAACACTGTACGCTCCTTTTAATTGACTTCTTCAGCTGAGGCAACATTTTCCTGGTGAAATTTTATCAAAATCTCCGCCCTTTCAAGTTTCAAAAGTGAAAGATCCTTTCTCATTGAAAATGCAGCTTTATAAGGCGAGAAGACTTTTCAAAGCGCCTTCAAATGCAGACACTGCAACACAGCGTACCACAATTAGGAAAATTAAATGCTACCCATTATCGACCGATATATTTACGCATCGTCTAAAAATTGTTCATGGTTTACACTATTTATACGGTTTATACGGTCACAACTATTTGGAATCATTTCTTGAAAGTCCATTTGACTTAATTATGTACAAGAGTATTCGCTCTTCTAGCTATGAATCCAGTTTTTAAGTGGGGTTGTGATGCAGTGCAAATAGAGTTAAACATTGAAATGCAAATTAATACATTAAGTCAGATTGACATACTCTAAAACGATCTATGATTTACTCATCACGCGATTTTCAATTTAAGTCGTCTCTTAATGTGTAAGTGGGGGCCTTTTGAGAGAGACAATCAGGAGGCACAACGCCTGTCCCTAAAGATTCGGAAATGTGACCTTTTTATGGACAATTTTTTCTTCTATGTCAGAGAGTATATTGTGACCCTTTGAGATTATCATCCTACCATCTTTTGGGGGGTATCATTTCAGCCATGTCTCAGACGGACTAAGAAACGTTGTTAAAAAAAAAAAAAAAAAAAAAAAAAAAAAAAAAAAAAAAAACTCCGTGAATGCCCCAAAATGAATCAAAATTTACAATTATCACCCCATCCCCCATATAGAGTCAAATTTAAAATTTAAAAGGACGAGAGGAGGAAATTGCCTCATCTGCCTTTTCAAACGCCCTTGGTATCTTCTCCTTCTGTCCTTTACTGCCTTGTTGAGAAAAAAGGCCGTATAAACATTCAAATGTTGCCAAATTTACTCTAAAAATACCTAATATTGAGGATAATTACGAACATTTTTTATCTAAATTTTCAGGCACTTTGGATCAAATTACAGACAGAATTCCGTAAAAAATTAGGAAGAAGAATACTCACAAATCCCGTATATTCGCGAGTTATCAAAAGAGGTTTGGCATCGTTTGAAGGCTCATACGGCGTTCTTTTTTAGAAACAACCGTTAACTTCTCCTCCTTTCGGACTGCAACTGCAAAGGATAGCCTCAAGTTCCCGTTCCTATTTCGACCGTCACGCAAAAGTTACCCAACGCATTCGAACCGCGAGCAGAAATTCAGATTTCCTTGCCTCCATTTTACTTTCACCGTTGACTGGGAGAGGACACGTCTCCCCTCGCCCCTCACCGTAACGTTAAGCGATTTTTCAGCCCCCCCCCCTCCCCCTGCCCTCATCCCCTGCATGATGTGTCAGGTTTTCAAGGGCCCGCACCAGGAAGCGGATCACAATCGACGCACAGTAGGGCAAGTCGATGGGAAAGCTCGGACATGATCTGGGCGCCGATTATTGAAATTGATAGACAAAGCGATAGACGAAAGAGACATAAGAAGTATGGAGTGATCCTATTGGTAGAAGCTGTTAGCCTCAATGGACAAAGGAGGGAAACAATAGACTAACTATAACGGCAACCCCCAAGAGACCCTGAAGTTAGTCCATCATTTTCCCCTTCTCTATATAACAACTATCCTTTATGACCAATTGGATTTCTTCATTTAGGCTTTGTCCGCTTTGTCTATCGATTTCATCAATCAATCTGTGGGCTGATTCTTGAAATTGATAGACAATAGACAATGAAGACATAGAAAGGATGAAGCGATACTATTGGTTGAAACTGGTGGTTCTTATATGTACCTAGACTAGGAAGGGAAATGATGGACTAACTATGGGCTCTCTTATGGATTGCTGTTAATTAGTCTACTATTTACCTTCTTCATCCGTTTCAGCCACCCACTTTTACCAATAATATTGCTCTATTTTCCTTATGTTTCCTTTGTCTATCAATTTCAATAATCAGCCCGCTGGAAACCGTCGAAATTACGTGAAAAGAGTCGAAATTACATGGATCTCTATTGCAGAGAGAAAGTTCAAACTTACTTTTTGATACTTAAAAATTGGAATTAGGGATCGATCTTGTCAAAGAAAATGCATTAAGACTATTTTTACTCGAAATCATTAATATCTCAATTTCTTCAAAAACTGCACTTAAGCGCCTTGTCCTCTAAGCCTTCAAAAGTGGACCGTGTTGAGCAAAAAGGAACCAAGCCACATCGGCTATTGCCAAATTTAACTTGGTAATTTAATTTCTTTTCAACAAAACGTTTATGCGGATCCCTTCGAAAATTTTAAGGAATTTGCTTCTTGTTGTGCAGAAAATTTACTGAAATTTGTACAAAAATCTGTAGGTACAACCGTTTTTATGTAAAAAATTAAATTGCCCAGTTAAATTTGGTAACAGCTGATGTGTTTTGGTTCCTCTCTGCTTAACGCGGTCCAAGTAATATTTGGACCGCGTTAGACAGAAAGGAACCAAGCCACATCAGCTATTGCCAAATTTAATTTGGCAATTCAATTTTTTACATGAAAACGGTTGTGCGGATTTTCGTGCAAATTTCAGTGAATTTTTTCCATAGTACGAAGCAAATTCCTTAACATTTTCATAGGGATCTGCACAAACTTTTTCTCATAAAAAAATTAATTGCCCTGTTAAATTTGGCAATAGCTGATGTGGTTTGATTCCTTTCTATTAAACGCAGTCCGATTGTAAGTTCTTGACCAAAAAACGAATTCCCCTGAGTGAGTACACACAAAACTAAATAAAAAACAAATCAAAATTTCATTCTTAAAAAAAAAAAAAAAAAAAAAAAAAAAAAAAAAAAAAACCGCATTCGCAAGATTCTCTCTACAAAAATACCCTTTGCAGTTATTTGGGCCTGGATTCCAAAAAATCCGTTATTGCTTAGTGAGGGAAAAACGAGTGGTCGGAAAATCTGCCGTGCAACGCAAAAACGCCATTTTAAATTTTTTGGGAACAATGTATTATTGCAGAAAACTTTTGTAATAGCTTTTGTAAATTTGGCAACAGCTGATGTGGCTTGGTTCCTTTCTGCTTAACGCGGTCCAAGTAATATTTTGACCGCGTTAAACAGAAAGGAACCAAGCCACATCAGCTATTGCCAAATTTAATTTGGCAATTTAATTTTTTACGTAAAAACGGTTGTAACTACAGATTTTTGTGCAAATTCCAGGAAATTTTCCTCACAGCAAGAAGCAAATTCTTTAAAATTTTCGAAGGGATCCGCACAAACGTTTTGTTGAAAAGAAATTAAATTCCCAAGTTAAATTTGGCAATAGCTGATGTGGCTTGGTTCCTTCCTGTTAAACGCGGTCCATTTGACCTTTATCCAAAAGCCAGTTCCACTGCGCGCCGGCCTGCCACTCGCGAGGGAAAAATTGCTTCCATTCTTGACCGCTCTGAATATAAGCTCAGATGAATGGAAGATACATACGAAATGAGCGGGGCTCATAAATGATAATGCACATCTTTCCCCGCACTCGGCGACGTTGAAATATGCACCGGACATAGTGCCTGAGTTCGGCACAAAGGAACCACCCCGGATTTTTTCCTTCCTTTTTTTATTTTTTAACAACGATTCGCAAGGAGCTCCGGTTTAGCATCTACTCACTCTCGAAATCCGTGAAATATTTATAGTTAGCCCGGCGCCCACGCGCCCAAGCGTCAAGTATTTTTTCGAAGTCGAGTGGCGGTTTC